TCATGTATTATATCTCCATTTGGATCAGAACTGTCATACTACGTGCATATGCGGATGGACCTATTCCGACCCTCCATGAGCTTAATACTCATGATATTATAGCTTAACTTCTACAATTTTTCTACACAAATGTGATTGAAATAATGGAGGGTTTATTTCTGAAACCGATATGGTGGTTGCAAACCATTATCTGAGATATCACCACCGAGACGCCTCAGGTATACACCAATTCGATCCCATGGTCCTCGCACAACAGCTGACAGTTCCTCGGAGAAGATAAGTCAATCTAACAGATTTTACTTATCTTATAACAATACTAAATAGCTTCATGCTATATATAATTTACTTAAGTTCCTTTTATCATCACAGTACTATGATTATTACATCATACAATATATAAGTTAACAACTCTACAGAGTTTGTTATTATATATATTTACCTTAAGTTATTCATATCTTAAGAGTAATACTATGGTTACATGATAAATGCATTAGCTAACAAACTCTACAGAGTTTTTGGCTATTTTATACATAGCTTAAGTTAATTAAGCTAACAAACTCTACAGAGTTTTACTATTATATAGGTAACTTAAGCTAATTATACCTTAAGCATAGTACTATACTCATATTATTAAAATATATTGGCTAACAAACTCTAAGGAGTTTTGCTATTATATAGGTAGCTTAAGCTTATTCATATCTTAAGCTTAGTACTATGTTTATATCATATAAGTAGATTAGCTAACAAACTCTAAAGAGTTTTTGCTATTTGGCTTAAGTATCATCATATTTCTAAGCAATATGGTTATATTATAACATGTATTAGCTAACAAACTCTACAGAGTTTTAGCTATTATATATGTAACTTAAGCTTATTCATATCTTAAGCAGTACTATGTTTATATCATATAGGTATATTAGCTATCAAAACTCTAAAAGAGGGTTTTGCTATTATATATTTAAGCTTAAGTTTCATCATATTTTAAGCTTTATGGTTACATTATAACATGTATTAGCTAACAAACTCTAACGGAGTTCTTGCTATTATATATGTAGCTTAAGTTTTCCTTCATAAGCTCAATACTAGGTTTATATCATAGCTAACAAACTCTAAAGGGTTGTTTTCGCTTATTATACAATTAGCTTAAGTTTTCATCATATCTTAAGCAGTATGTTTACATTATAAAGTATTAGCTAACAAAACCGACGGAGTTTGTTATTATATATATATAGCTTAAGTTTCATCATAACTTAAGCTCAGTACTATGTTTTTAACATAAAAGTATATTAGTTAATAAACTCTAAGGAGTTTATTTTGCTATATACATTTAGCTTAAGTCTAATCTAATCTTAAGCTTAGTACTATGGTTACACTATAAACATATTAGCTAATAAACTCTACAGAGTTTTTGGCTATTATATATGTAGCTTAAGTTAATAATATCTTAAGCACAATACTATACTCATATTGTAAAATATATTAACTAACAAACTCTAATGAGTTTTGCTATTATTATATATGTAGCTTAAGTTCATTATATCTTAAGCACACTACTATACTCATATTGTAAAATATATTAGCTAACAAACTCTCTGGAGTTTTGCTATTATATATGTAGCTTAAGTTAATTATATCTTAAGCACACTACTATACTCATATTGTAAAAATATATTAGCTAACAAAACCCTACAGAGTTTTGCTATAGATATGTAGCTTAAGTTAATTATATCTTAAGCTCAGTACTATACTAATATTATAAATATATATTAGCTAACAAACTCTACAGAGTTTGGCTATTATATATGTAGCTTAAGTTAATTATAGCTTAAGCACAGTACTATACTCATATTATAAAATATATTAGCTAACAAACTCTACAGAGTTTGGCTATTATATATGTAGCTTAAGTTAATTATAGCTTAAGCACAGTACTATACTCATATTATAAAAATATATTAACTAACAAACTCTACAGAGTTTTGCTATTATATATGTAGCTAAAGCTTATTCATATCTTAAGCTCAGCATTATATCTATATCATATAAGTATATTAACTAACAAACTCTAAAGAGTTTGCTATTATATAATTAGCTTAAGTTTAATCATATCTTAAGCTTAGTACTATGTTATATCTTAAAGTATTTTAGCTAACAAACTCTAAGGAGTTTATACTAGCATATTAACAAGCTTAAGTCTATTAGTCTTAAGCATTGTATTAATGTTATATATACTTTATCATAATAAGTACATGGTAATAACCTTTTTATATGGCAGCTGATAAGTTAGCAGCAGGAATTCATCAGTTCAGTGCCTTTATGAAGTTCCCATAGGGTTATTACAATCATCACAGTTCAAATCACTAATTATTAAAAATCCAAAGTATTAGATATTCCCACCTCAGCGCTCCGTAGGATGCTACAAGCAAAAGAGCATGAGTCAGGATAAGGAAAAATATGTAATTTTTGGAGTAAAATTGATATTTTATACTTATCCTGACTCATGAGGTCAGCCCTCCCATCCTCCCCAAATAACACTTTGGATTTCACTGTAAATTCAAATGTTGGGCTCAGTATATGAGGAGAGAGTGAGGCACATGGGTAGAGGGTGGCTCTGCTGGTTCAGCTTGTGGAAGGAGGTAACTTCGTGGTGAATACTAATTAGTGATTTTTAAATTGAAGGGAGCTTCAATTAGGGAGATACAAGTGTTCCACTATGTTCGCAAGAAGAAGAAGACAAGCAAAAAGAGCATGAGTCAGGATAAGTATAAAATATCAATTTTACTCCAAAAATTACATTATTGTAATTAAACTGGAAAACATTTCTACATGGTGTTATCATAATGTATCAAATCTGCCCAAACTCTGCCTTCTCCTCTCAACAGCCAACGGTGATGAATAGTTCATTTAAAGGTGGAGACAACAAAACGTGGCTCCATATTTCTGTCGTTGGAGTGGAGTATCAGGAAATAGTTGGGCAGGAATAGATGTGATGTACCATGCACTTCCTAACGTTGTCAACTTGAACCTCTCAGCTCCCACTATACACACATGCAGGGACTGGACAGAGCTATGGTGTGGTCAATACTTAAAGGGACATTGTCACATTCTGGTCAATTGATACATTATTTTTTCTAAGGTATACTTGATGATCCAATTACAACACTGGATTCCAGTTTGCACAATTTAGCACCAAAGGCTCACCTGAACACATTTATGCATGCCCTGTCAAAAGAGCCCAAAATAAAGACCAACTTTTTTGCTCCTGTCACAGGATTTTCTCAATTGCTGTGTGTTATAACCGTGGTTGAAGTCTTACTATAGTATAACGTCGTGTTAAATTACTAAGCATCCTGTTGTGGAGAAGACATGTTTTCATATGACGAGAGTGTACATTTAAATGATTGCAGAAGTGGGCAAGCCATTGTTCTCTTTCTGGGTCAAGTGTTGGGTTAAATATCATTCACATGGCAAATTACGATCGCATTCAGGGAGGAATTGTTCATTTACTTCCATGGGTTAGTCATTGGTGGTGTTCGTGTCCATGATAACAGTCACGTTTACATTTAACTACACATAAGTACAAGGTATCTTTGAAATACACAATGCCATTTTAGAAAGTGGTCAAATGTAACATATGTTATATTTGGGATTACACTTTCTTTGTAAAGTACAGATTCTAGTACTTTTGGGTTGAGTCCCATCCGGGATTCGAACCCACACCCTCAGAGTCAGGCACTTAATCGCCAGCACATTCCATTTTTGTGGAAGCCGCGGTGGCTGAGCAGTCTAGGCTTCTGACTTTGTGTGCTGGCGATTAGGTGCCTGACTCTGAGGGTGTGGGTTCGAATCCCGGATGGGACTCAACCTTAAAAGTACTAGAATCTGTACTTTACTAAGAAAGTGTAATCTCAAATATAACATATGTTACAAGGTATCTCGATGAAATGACGAATCATTAAGTAGAGGTTCACGAAATGGTTCAGGATGATACTGACACGTATTCCATAGAGGATACTAAACGACCTTCCGGTAATACCATTTTTATCAAACGAGTTAATGATTTGGTATCAAACGAGCGAAAGCGAGTTTAATGCTAAATCTTTCACGAGTTTAATAAAAATGGTATTTCACAGAAGCGAGTTTAGTATTCTGTTTATTACTCTACAACATGAACTGATAAAAACTGCCTCTGAAGTGTATTGACTTTCAGCTTTCCACGAGTCAAGCAAGGTCTAATACCATTGTGACAGAGGTATTAGCATAGTGACGTCATAACTGCAAACCATTATGACATCATACGTCTAGCGGTATTACACCAGTGTAATATCATCGTAAAAATATTACACTGCATATCTTCCACTGGCGATTAATAAAAACTTGTATCTAACTCACTCATAAGCGGGCAGTGAGGTAGCCTAGTGGTTAAAGCGTTGGCTCGTCACGCCGAAGACCTGAGTTCGATTCCCCACATGGGCACAATGTGTGAAGCCTATTTCTAGTGTCCCCCGACGTGATATTGCTGGAATATTGCTAAAAGCGGCGTTTAACTAAACTCAGTCAGTCACTCATAAGCAATTGGTTGCATGTATTTACATAGTGTCTGTATACCATTATACTGTGTACATGATGATGATGATGATGATGATGATGATGATGATGACCAGTGATCATGATAAAAAGTAGAAAATAATGTGAATATATATGGCTACTTTTAAACCGTGATGCTTATCCTATTAGTCAAACATACAACACACTACTCCATGTTGTTTATTTACAGCAGTTGCCAGCAAGAACTCCTGAAATACACTATTGGGGGACTCTTGGATGTTCTTCTATGAAACAATGTTGTTATGAGATTTAAAATGGCTCTTGCTTTACTTTGCTTGAGACACCTTCATGCTGGACCCCAACTTTAGTAAATGCCGTGATGATGATGATGATGATGATGATGATGATGATGATGATGATGATGATTTAGTGTTTACATGTCATATTTTCAGGTCATTATTGATTCCATGAAGTACCGGAGTCACCTGACAGATCTGGGAAAGTTATGGGTAAGTAGTGCCAGGGACTGTCTCAGTGCAGCAAGCTTGTGAGGTTGATTGGGTGGCCACAATGGCTGCCTAGTGTGGACACTGCATTGGTGACTTCATGATCATGATCAGTCAAGCCCAGAATACCCTCTCAAATACTTCAGGATACAGCTGTAATACAGTCAGACACATTGTGTTGGATGATGATGTATCAAACATACGTTTGTTTCAACGTAAAGGCTTAGTTCCAGCATATTCCTTCTTGAGTCATCAGCTTTGCATTTGTGTTGAATAACTTTGACATCAGTGTTTGACAGTACTTGTATTCATTCATGAATTGTGGAGCATCAGTGTTCCTTGCTGCAGAAGAAGTATACCATATTCCCTTTAATAAGCACCGGGCTTATTTTTGATGGGCTTCCAGACCTGGCACTTATTAGAGGCCAGGTGCTTTTGCGCTTACTGGGTCTAATTACCGTAATTGTAAGTGAGCTGCTTAAGCCCGGTGCTTATTAGAATTCCCAGCGCTTATTAAGGGGAAATACGGTAATCTATATATGGTAATTGGTCACGGGGTCTTCTGTGTGAAAAGAATCAGTAGCTTCATGCATATATAGTAGTGCTTGTTTCTCATCCTGTCAACCCGTGAAGATCCGGGGTAAAATAGGTCTTCAGCAACCCATGCTTGCCACAAAAGGCGACTATGCTTGTCGTAAGAGGCAACTAACGGGATCGGGTGGTCAGGCTCGCTGACTTGGTTGACACATGTCATCGGTTCCCAATTGCTCAGATCGATGCTCATGCTGTTGATCACCCCTGGATTGTCTGGTCCAGACTCGATTATTTACAGACCGCTGCCATATAGCTGGAATATTGCTGAGTGTGGCGTAAAACTAAACTCACTCACTCACTCACTCTCATCCTGTCAAGTTCCTTGGTTCTGTGCTTTTAGTTTGTTTTGTGTATTTTTGTCTTCACAGGTTCAGCATCACACAGTTTATTTATCATCTCTATCATGAAAAGCTTAGTAAAGTTACTTTCTCTATTGTCTGGCTGTCTTTGATAATTTGTCCAGCGGGTATTTTGCTAACACTGGTGCTCTATAATTCATCAATACGCCTACATCCCTCAAGTAGAAGCTCTCCATTTATGCTGAGCATAGTGTTTCCAGCCTATTGAAGTGATACATGCTTCTGTGATAACATTTCCCACAGGACTAGTCATAGTATGTTGAGGCCAATATTCCTTGTACATTATCAGCTTCATAACAGATAAAAAACATTTTCCAGAAGATTTGTTACAGTGTAGGAGGAACCTGTATTGATTCTTGTGCTGTGAGACTATCATTGGACCTACTTACTGCCTTGTAAAAGAATCGAAAGATTCTCCTTACTGTGTAAACGGAACTAGCTGTCAGGGAATATGTGTTTTGGTGGCTAGGGAATATTAGTTTATGGTCATTTATTTGTCACTTTGATCACTCCATCTGTGCCATAAATTGTTGAAATGCAATTTGCTGTAAACAATGGATGTGTTTGTTGGATTGAATGAATTGTGTTATCAATATTTGTGTCCTGGATATAGGATGGAAGGTAAAAAAGATATGTTTGGCGTAAGTCATTAAATATGTGGAGAAATGTTTACTGAACAAAATAGTTGTAGTATATACATTTTTATTTTTTCAACATGTATGTAATTTAAATAGGACAAAATCTAGAGAATTCAGCATGAAAGCTAGCAGAGTTATATGCTTAAAAGAAACATATATGTAAGTTCTGCACTACTGGTAGACCTATAAGACCAAATGTGAGGTCATTATTTTAAAGGAATAAAATTTGAGATGAAGACAGTTTGACATTGAGGAATTGATGACAACTTCATGTCTGTGAGCATGCAGTGCTTCATTTTACATATTTGATTATTTTTAAGTAATTCTAAGTCTGTTGAATTGATATAATGTAAATGTACATCTTCAACAATCCATCATCATTTCTGCGATTCCTGTGATGCAAGTATATATATATGGCTGGGAAACATGAAAAACAGATATATGTGTTCATTCATTGTACCAGTGAGCATTAGTAATTATGTAATTAGAAGGAACGCACTTTGTGTAAAGCATTTAACATGGAAATGAGAATATGTATTTAAACATTGTCTTTTTGCATTTCTTTAGGAGAGGCAGAAAGTGAAAACCTACTGTGTAAAGAATCTAACAGAAATGAGAATATGTATTTAAATATTGACTTTTTGCATCCCTTTAGGAAAGTGAAAATTTTCTGTTTGATATTAGAAGGGAAGGATTATGTGCTATAGCTCGCTGGGTGGAAAATTAAGCTGGCCAGTCAGTATTTTTCCTTATCCTGACTCATGCTCTTTTTGCTTGTCTTCTTCTTCTTGCGAACATAGTGGAACACTTGTATCTCCCTAATTGAAGCTCCCTTCAATTTAAAATCACTAATTAGTATTCACCACGAGTTACCTCCCTTCCACAAGCGGGAGCGAGAGCCACCCTCTACCCATGTGCCTCACTCTCTCCTTCTTAGCCCAGTGAGCTGGGCGTGAGAGCGCCTGTGTCTCCGACACACTATATCCTTTGAATTATATTTAGTTAGTTACCTCGTATAGACATCTATAGAGGTTTAGCTAGTATCCTTCAGCGATTATATATTGATATTTAGTCGTTTTTCTACAGTTTATTCACGGGGGCCGTGTTTGTTTCAGTGGATTACGTTGATGAAAATTCTGTACTATTGCAGATTACGTTTTGTATGCTGCTGCTGATCCACCTTTTATATGATGTGCGGTAGCCATGTTCATTATATTCACATTGCAGTTCGCGGTACTAATTTATCAATTCTACCTTTTTATTAATATTTACTTTGCGTTTGGCGCACAGCAGATAGGTGGCGTATGCAGAGTCTAGTATGACTGATACACGGAACCCCTCGCCAGTCTACTGCTGTTGGCCGACTCCCCTCCCGTGTGGTGTTCGCTAGAGTGGTGGAGAGGTGTGGGGCGTAGTCCGCCATCTCAAGAAGCATCCTGCTTCCCCAGACATCCCATCGTCGCAGCAGAAGACTAGAGGGTTTTCTACTACATCTCAACAGCGAGATCGTTCCCCCATCGCAGTTTTGGGCCTGTATGATGATCAGCCGATCATCATACCTGATGTACATCAAAGATTGACCCGATGTCGGCACAGATCAGCATGCAGCCTGATGTACCAAGCGCTGATATTCGATGATCGTCCTGAGGGTCCCATCATTACCAACACTCAGCGCAGGCGTCGCGCACCCAGGGCAGCGTCGACCTCTGAGGAAAATCAGCGAAGTCTACTAGGACTTTCTCAGCGAGATTGTTCCAGCCGATGACCTGGACCTCACGATGATCAGCTGATCATCATCCCGGCATGCGCCACAAGAAGCGACCGGTGACAGCTACAGCGACATCAGCAGAGATCACCATGCAGCCTGATGCCTCTACACTGATGTCGGACGATTTTCCTGTGGACCCCTCCATTAACACGCAGATAAGGCACCGGCGACCTGCGTCGCCAGACCATCCCTGAGGACCTGATCGCGGCAAATTATGACCATGATGGAGGACCACTACAGACTGCATAAGCAGGGACCGAGAGCCAGCGAAGGCTCCAGCGTGAACAACACCCAGAGGCACCCCGTCAGCGTAGCAGCCAGGGCGATGTCACCTTAGCGAAGGAAGTCACGGACCACCTTGACGAAGGACCTAGATGTACAGAGCGAAGGACCTAGATGTACAGCCGGAAAGGACCTAGATGTACAAAGGACCTAGATGTACAGATGTACAGCGCGGCGGGAAGGACCTAGATGTACAGCCCAGCGAAGGACTTAGCGCGAAGGCAGGATAGATCATCACCATATGCGGTTTCATCCCTAGATGTGGACTCGGACCATCAGACATCCGCGGAAGCCAGCGAAGGTCATATCGTCGTTCCCCGGACGGACGCAGAGGAAGCCAGCGAAGGCATCTTGCTTGAAGGACACCTGAATCAGATCATCATCATCTAGAAGGACATCGAGGGACTATACAAGAGCCCAGCGAAACTATCAGCGTTCCCCTCACAAGTCTCGAGAAGATCAACCCATAGACAAGTTGATCATCGATATCAAGTATAAGAACTACAATCGTATATTGGTTCTGTTGAATCCATGGCCGAGGCGTATGTTAAGCTGGCCTAAATAGATCTAGAGCGATCAATTAGACACTTATCACCAGACTTAAGTAACACGACTTCTGAAAATGATAAGATGATCCATGCGGCCCTACTTAGGCAAAGCTTCACCCGATCCACATCCTGTTAAACACAGAGGCTGTTAAGTGAAGCAAAGCTCATATATATATATATATATATATATATATACTAATCGGGCTTTGACTCGATACCTTCGCGATGGTCGCGAAGGCTAAGTAACTCAAGTCTACTTCACCCAGAAGATCTAGAAGGGATGCCGAGAACTTGAAGTCTCGGCGTTCACCGAGGAAGTCTCCTCCAAGGTTTCTATATACTAGCCACTTTCGTCATATATAGCTACTTTCGTCAGTCCGTTCAAGGCGTCGCATAAGTTGATTATCAACTGTATGCCAGATGCGATCTATAAGCCCTCTGCGAAGATAATTGTTCAGGCTATTTACAACACAGAGCGTGGCTGTATTATTTAGTCAGCGACATTTCATAGATCTTCACAGAAATCAACTATTCGTATAAATTGCTAATATGCAATCCCGGACGACGATACGATTATCTACATGCGTGACCATTACGCATATCTGCAGACAATTCAATATCGAAATTGAACAGCAGCCTTGTTACAGCGAGTATAACTCTTAATCGTCAAAGTTTCTGAGAAGAAATATGGACAACAAGTTCAATGTTAATTCTACAATTATGACGATACATTCATGTATACAGTCTACAAGCTCACAACTTGCAAGTTGTTTGTACCCTTATATAGAAGGAAGTGAATTATATTCAAAACTGAAATTACTTTCCGACAACCAGGAAAATAACCTACCCAGCATAAAATTACAGAGCGAGATATGGCGCGGAGGTTTTCAGCGGTTACCATTAACCCTCGAAACCGTGGTCACTTTCGGATAACCGGGAAGCTACGGTGAAGACCGGCGTTTATGCTAATATCAGCGGCGACAAGAATTTATTCAAGGTGGTTTTTCCGCTACACGGTGACATCACAGCGGGTATTATACAGAATCAAAATGCCTTGTTCTGATTGGACGCGAGGGAGCGACCTACATGAAGGTCGATCTCAATTCACAGTTCAAGACTTACGTCACAAGTGACAACTATATATCAGTGAGCGAGCAAGCCTCATTACAGTCCAGTTAACCTGAACATTCATGATTAGACTGCCTTCTTCAAGTTAGAGACCTCCCTGTCAAGTTAAGGCGAGGGGATCGGCAGTCAGGCGATTTTACATAAAGTTCAGCGAGGACAGACACACCTGGTTGTGCACCTACATCGTCAAAAGGACTTATGGCGAATTACCTAGGCGAAGATACAAGTGGATCTAAATCCACAGCGTTTTCAGACTACAGCTGAATTTCATCAAGCGACTAACACAACTAGATGGTTAGTAAACCTACTAAGCTTCTGTTTGGAGAATAAAACGGAAGTTTCACGCCCAACCTGGGGATATGAATATAGTGCTCCAACACCTCACAAGTGAGGTTTATGAATACGCCTGGATGACATACTTGGACCCCATGATACGATGATTCTATCACGATGGCCAGCAAGAGCACTGTAAATTTATCTCCACCGAACCAAACAGGAGGAAAAAAAATGCAACAGATTATTTCCTCTATCATCAACTTACGCGCAGAGTGAAGTCTCATGTACTATATCTCCGTTTGGATCAGAACTGTCATGCATACTACGTGCATATCGCGGATGGACCTATTCCGACCCTCCATGAGCTTAATACTCATGATATTAGAAGCTAACTTCTACAATTGTTCTACACAAATGTGATTGAAATAATGGAGGGTTTATTTCTGGAAATCCGATATGGTGGTTGCAAACCATTATCTGAGAGATATCACCACCGAGGACGTCTCAGGTATACACCAATTCGATCCCATGGTCCTCGCACAACAGCTGACAGTTCCTCGGAGAAGATAAGTCAATCTAACAGATTTTTACTTATCTTATAACAATACTAAATAGCTTCATGCTATATATAATTTACTTAAGTTCCTTTTATCATCACAGTACTATGATTATTACATCATACAATATATAAGTTAACAACTCTACAGAGTTTGTTATTATATATATTTACCTTAAGTTATTCATATCTTAAGAGTAATACTATGGTAACATGATAATTGCATTAGCTAACAAACTCTACAGAGTTTTTGGCTATTTTATACGTAGCTTAAGTTAATTAAGCTAACAAACTCTGAGGAGTTTTACTATTATATAGGTAATTTAAGCTAATTATACCTTAAGCATAGTACTATACTCATATTATTAAAATATATTAGCTAACAAACTCTAAGGAGTTTTGCTATTATATAGGTAGCTTAAGCTTATTCATATCTTAAGCTTAGTACTATGTTTATATCATATAAGTAGATTAGCTAACAAACTCTAAAGAGTTTTTGCTATTTGGCTTAAGTGTCATCATATTTCTAAGCAATATGGTTATATTATAACATGTATTAGCTAACAAACTCTACAGAGTTTTAGCTATTATATATGTAACTTAAGCTTATTCATATCTTAAAGCGCAGTACTATGTTTATATCATATAGGTATATTAGCTATCAAAACTCTAAAAGGGTTTTTGCTATTATATATTTAAGCTTAAGTTTCATCATATTTTAAGCTTTATGGTTACATTATAACATGTATTAGCTAACAAACTCTACGGAGTTCTTGCTATTATATATGTAGCTTAAGTTTTCCTTCATAAGCTCAATACTAGGTTTATATCATATAAGTATTTTAGCTAACAAACTCTAAAGGGTTGTTTTAAGCTATTATACAATTAGCTTAAGTTTCATCATATCTTAAGCAGTATGTTTACATTATAAAGGTATTAGCTAACAAAACTTCGTGAGAGTTTTGTTATTATATATATATAGCTTAAGTTTAAATATCTTAAGCTCAGTACTATGTTTTTAACATAAAAAGTATATTAGTTAATAAACTCTAAGGAGTTTATTTTGCTATATACATTTAGCTTAAGTCTAATCTTATCTTAAGCTAGTACTATGGTTACATTATAAACATATTAGCTAATAAACTCTACAGAGTTTTTGGCTATTATATATGTAGCTTAAGTTAATTATATCTTAAGCACAATACTATACTCATATTGTAAAATATATTAGCTAACAAACTCTACGAGTTTTGCTATTATATATGTAGCTTAAGTTCATTATATCTTAAGCACACTACTATACTCATATTGTAAAATATATTAGCTAACAAACTCTACGGGGTTTTGCTATTATATATGTAGCTTAAGTTAATTATATCTTAAGCACACTACTATACTCATATTGTAAAATATATTAGCTAACAAAACCCTACAGAGTTTTGCTATATATATGTAGCTTAAGTTAATTATATCTTAAGCTCAGTACTATACTAATATTATAAAAATATATTAGCTAACAAACTCTACAGAGTTTGGCTATTATATATGTAGCTTAAGTTAATTATAGCTTAAGCACAGTACTATACTCATATTATAAAAATATATTAGCTAACAAACTCTACAGAGTTTTGCTATTATATATGTAGCTAAAGATTATTCATATCTTAAGCTCAGCATTATATCTATATCATATAAGTATATTAACTAACAAACTCTAAAGAGTTTGCTATTATATAATTAGCTTAAGTTTAATCATATCTTAAGCTTAGTACTATGTTTATATCTTAAAGTATTTTAGCTAACAAACTCTAAGGAGTTTATACTAGCATATTAACAAGCTTAAGTGTATTAGTCTTAAGCATTGTATTAATGTTATATATACTTTATCATAATAAGTACATGGTAATAACCTTTATATGGCAGCTGATAAGTTAGCAGCAGGAATTCATCAGTTCAGTGCCTTTATGAAGTTCCCATAGGGTTATTACAATCATCACAGTTCAAATCACTAATTATTAAAATCCAAAGTATTAGATATTCCCACCTCCGTTCTGTAGGATTCTACAAGCAAAAGAGCATGAGTCAGGATAAGGAAAATATGTAATTTTTGGAATAAAATTGATATTTTATACTTATCCTGACTCATGAGGTCAGCCCTCCCATCCTCCCACATAACACTTTGGATTTCCCTGTAAATTCAAATGTTGGGCTCAGTATATGAGGAGAGAGTGAGGCACATGGGTAGAGGTGAAGCCCTCGTTCAGCTTGTGGAAGGGAGGTATTTTTCGTGGTGAATACTAATTAGTGATTTTAAATTGAAGGGAGCTTCAATTAGGGAGATACAAGTGTTCCACTATGTTAGCAAGAAGAAGAAGACAAGCAAAAGAGCATGAGTCAGGATAAGTATAAAATATCAATTTTATTCCAAAATTACATTTTTCCTGTGACTTTGAAACACCATTCGTGAACACTGATGAGTCATAGCATTATGTTCCCTTTGGTGAAACAGATCCCTTATTCTGTTTAACACCTGTCATGACATGGTTGGTGAAGACTCAGATCTTCAGAAGTAGAAGTACAATGGAGTTAGAGGCTGCCCCAGTTCCCTTATTTAGTAATTACTCCAACTGGTCAAAATGTGTGGAGATTCTGATCATCAAACACAGTGGCTTGGTTGAAAGTGTATCATCTTAACCCTGCATTATGTGACATTGCTGTGAGCAAACACTCTCACTCACTCACTCACTCACTCACTCACTCACTCACTCACTCACTCACTCACTCACTCACTCACTCACTCACTCACTCACTCACTCACTCACTCACTCACTCACTCACTCACTCACTCACTCACTCACTCACTCAATCAATCAATCAATCACCAGCATGTTCAGTTGCTCTTCTTCGTGATCAGCTGTGTTTGTTCGGTTTTCTTTCAGTTTCCAAGAATTCCAGGAAATATGATGATGACAGATGAAACCTTCAACAAGATTTGTGGATCTGATGTAAACAGCTAGTAAGTAGATATTCTGATAGGTTCCAATTTTTATGTATTTTTTCTGTAGCGTAGTCATGGCAATTGGAGCTGTATTTACTGTAATAATTGTCCGGATGCAGCAACTTGTTTGTCCTTGGTGACGAGAGATCATTCTGATTGTTTCAGCTTTGAGTTCTCCATCGACATGCTGGACTACCTAGACGAGATTCTCAGCTTCCAGCAAGCAGGTAATAACTGAAGGCAGACAAATACCAGTAGGAATGAAAACACGATGCCATTTAAAAAGTGGTCAAATAAAAAATACCACTCTCTCAACAGTACTAGAATCTGTACATTACAGAGAACCCACCAACAGTACTAGAATCTGTACATTACAGAGAACCCACCAACAGTACTAGAATCTGTACATTACAGAGAACCCACCAACAGTACTAGAATCTGTACATTACAGAGAACCCACCAACAGTACTAGAATCTGTACATTACAGAGAACCCACCAACAGTACTAGAATCTGTACATTACAGAGAACCCACCAACAGTACTAGAATCTGTACATTACAGAGAACCCACCAATAGTACTGGAATCTGTGCATTACAGAGAACCCACCAACAGTACTAGAATCTGTACATTACAGAGAACCCACCAACAGTACTAGAATCTGTACATTACAGAGAACCCACCAACAGTACTAGAATCTGTACATTACAGAGAACCCACCAACAGTACTAGAATCTGTACATTACAGAGAACCCACCAATAGTACTAGAATCTGTACATTACAGAGAACCCACCAACAGTACTAGAATCTGTACATTACAGAGAACCCACCAACAGTACTAGAATCTGTACATTACAGAGAACCCACCAACAGTACTAGAATCTGTACATTACAGAGAACCCACCAACAGTACTAGAATCTGTACATTACAGAGAACCCACCAACAGTACTAGAATCTGTACATTACAGAGAACCCACCAACAGTACTAGAATCTGTACATTACAGAGAACCCACCAACAGTACTAGAATCTGTACATTACAGAGAACCCACCAACAGTACTAGAATCTGTACATTACAGAGAACCCACCAACAGTACTAGAATCTGTACATTACAGAGAACTCCCCACCAACAGTACTAGAATCTGTACATTACAGAGAACCCACCAACAGTACTAGAATCTGTACATTACAGAGAACCCACCAACAGTACTAGAATCTGTACATTACAGAGAACCCACCAACAGTAGTACTAGAATCTGTACATTACAGAGAACCCACCAACAGTACTAGAATCTGTACATTACAGAGAACCCACCAACAGTACTAGAATCTGTACATTACAGAGAACCCACCAACAGTACTAGAATCTGTACATTACAGAGAACCCACCAACAGTACTAGAATCTGTACATTACAGAGAACCCACCAACAGTACTAGAATCTGTACATTACAGAGAACCCACCAACAGTACTAGAATCTGTACATTACAGAGAACCCACCAACAGTACTAGAATCTGTACATTGCAGAGAACCCACCAACTAGTACTAGAATCTGTACATTACAGAGAAAGTGATATCACAAATATCCCAGGATATACTGACTCTGTTAAGCAGTTGTCACAGTTCAAATTTTTCAAACAAAGTTAAGGCATATTAATCAATCAAGACATCTATGAAATTATTATTGTAATACAGTGCTTGCATTGCAGGCTGTGTCTTCGAGTTTTTGCTTTATTTACTTTCTTTCCGTAGTGTTTGGTTCACTGGATATGTCCCGCGCCAACTCGATGACGACGTCGGGACAGTGCCGACTCGCTCCCCTCATCCTGTGTATCCTAGATTCTTGCCAGCTGTATGACTACCTGGTCAAGTCTCTTTTCCGACTTCATTCTAGTGAGTGACATCCACATATACTGATGTCTAACAAATGTTAAAAGAACACTGTTGCAGTTTATTCTTACTTCATAGTGCAGACATTTATCAGAGACTTCTTAGTAATTTATCTTACTAGAGCTTCTTACTTGAACATGTTTGTGGTAAGAGTTGGCTAAATGAAGATGAGGTGGTTACAGCACGTGACCTGGCTGAAGTGCCATGGCACCAACAGTAGAAGTTGTTCATAATATCAGCCCCTGGTTTGCTTCAAAAAAACATGATATTGTTTGAGTAGACGTTAAATGCACTCACTCCTATGGTTTTGTCACTCCCTCGCGGGCAGTGGGGTAGCCTAGTGGTTAAAGCGTTTGTCACGTCGAAGATCCGGGTTCGATTCCCCAAATGGGTACAATGTATGAAGCCCATTTCTGGTGTCCCCCACCGTGATATTGCTGGAATATTTCTGAAAGCAGTGTAAAACTAAACTCACTCTCTCCCTTGCTGTTGCAGGTCTGACACCCGACACACTCTCAGGTCACCGAGAGAGATTCCTCAAGGGTTACAAAAGGTAGGTTTACTTTGTCTTTGTCAGAACAATCTGCCTCAAAAGACTACACCAGCTATGTACTGAGTTTGTCCTTGGCACTAAGCAAGGGATGACTATTAATTTCAGCAGTATTAGATTTTATGGGATAATATGGCATTGAAGCCATAATAATGCAGATTTCTCACTGTGAATAATTGGTGTTTCAGGTTAAAACAGTTTTACCACAGCAGTGCCACACTTCAGTATTTCAAGAACCTAGTCCAGGTCCCGGCATTGCCAGAGGTGAGTCATTTGATGTCTTGGTGAAATATTGGTTTGAGAGGCAAAGCGTGTTTTTCTAAGAAGTGCCACAGGCGCTTTGTTAAGAAGTGTTCCTCAAGCAGCCTTTGACATATCTTAAGTCAAACATTTGTCTCAATATACTGGCAGTTTTGTGTACAATTGTATCTTGATGTACATCATCCAAATGTGGCTCAAACCATAGCTATCTCCTGGGTGGGATCAAGAGACTTCTAGGATAGCCCGATACATGTGACTGCTTCTTGACATTTGATGTTGGAAGGCTCTCAGGGTCACATGCTCTCTCTTATATATGCTCATTTTACCCTCCTCTGTAAAAGGCCATGCCATTCTTGGAAGTTCAGTTTTAGGTAATAAAGGGGATCATGGTATTTTGGAGGAGTCAGTCAAACCTTCCTACTTGAGCTTCAGGTTCTAGATTCGCTGAGCTTCAGCTGAAGGCACGGGTTTGATTCCCCACATGGGTACAACTTGTTCAGGTTCTGGAATATTTCTAAAAAGAAACCAAACTCAGTCAGTCAGTCAGGCTCTAGCTAGAGCAAACAAATGTCATGGTTGTTGGAAACTGACCATGACCTTTGACCTTTGCACATGGTTAACCAGTGATTCAGTAACCATACCTGGAAATCTGTTGATTTTATGTTTTGTTGACTTTCATATTTCCTCTCATTAAATATTTGGGGGATACAGTCATCAAAGGAACCACAATTTGTTGCATCCATTGGAAAAATATGGTGCAGTCGCTGGTTGATGTCACAAGCTTAAAATGATTCCGTGTTTTTTTTAGGAACCACCCAACTTCCTGATAGCATCTGACATCAGTAAACATGTGAAGCCTGTAGCAGTAGTCCCATCAGAACCAGAGCCGGAACCAGAACCAGAGCTCGACACCCCAGAGGTGGAAAATGTGGGCAACCTCATAGACACAACTGAGGTAACAGCTCTCAGCATGAATTTCATGTCTGAAGACTTTATAAATTGTGCCATGATGCTTTTGATTTGAATTACCCCTATGTAAAGCATTCATTTCAAATGTAGATTTGTTAGTATATTTGAATAAACTAATATATATTTGAATATACCAACAAATCTGCATTTGACACCTCTGAATTGAAGTTATTTATCAAGCATCTCCCTGTTCTGCATCTTTGGGGTTGAGATGCAAAGCAGTTGTTAGGATGTTTTAGGAGTATTTTTTAAGTCATCCACCATATTTTGTTTGTGCTTGTCATTGAAAGGAGCAAAGCTGCAGGTCACTGTGACATAAGTGGAATAGGGGGCACTGGCTAAAGGAGACACAGTTCACTCGGCAAAACTGCATACCTTAGTCATGCCAGAAACCTGTCGTTATGGGTTCAAATCCTTGTTCACCCTGATTGTTTCGAGGTTTGTCATCTCCATACCCGTGCGGGGCGGTGGGGTAGCCTAGTGGTTTAATCCATTACCACTTCCTGCCGAAGACCTGGGTTCAATTCCCCTCATGGGGAAGCCCATGTCTGGTGTCCCCTGCCGTGATGTTGCTGGAATGTTGCTAAAAGCGGTGTACAACCCAACACACTCACTCAACATACCTGTGATCGTGGATTTTACCAAAGGGGGAACAATCGCAGACCTGCATCACCTAGGGCTCGTGTCCCACATTGAACCAACATGCTGTAAAGCAACACTCACTCACTCTAAGCTGGAATATTGCTGCCAATATTTTCTTCCTGTTTACTGTTTATATTGAATTAGTTACAATGTTCAGATTTTAGGTTGCTTCATTTGGCCTGTATGTCATAGCATTGTTCATAGTTGTGATCTAGATAGAAGATGTGAAGCAGGCTAGCTATTGTCAAAACGTTCGTAGCCCTGCAAACTTCTTAAACCCATTCTTAACACATTAGCTACGATCAAAGTTAAGAATTCTTTGGGTACGAACGTTTCGAGAATAAAGGTCCTTGGCCTAGATTTTCGAAGCTCTCTTAGCGCTAAGATAGTCGTAAGTTAATGTTAATATATGGCACTTACGACTATCTTAGCGCTAAGAGAGCTTCGAAAATCTAGGCCCTGGGAACTTATTGAAACGTTCGTAGAGCTAAGAATTCCTAACTTTGATCGTAGCCAATGTAGTAAGATTGGGCTTAAGACGTTCGTAGGGATATGAACATTTCAAGAATAGCTAACCTGGTCTTTGTTTAGAAAATAATTGTAGTTGCAATGACAATGATCAAACAGGTCTGCATATCATACCTTCCACTGATTTCAATGCATAAATGAAGAAAGGCATTTCTCTTCATAACAAGACTAACAGCAATGTAAACAGTTCCACTACCAAGTTATTGACTCATTTCGCCATGTTTTAACTCTTTGTGACTTCATTAACATGTTCACTAAACAACTGTGTAGAAATCACAGTTGGACTAACATATTCTACTGAATCTCACAAGCCCTGTTGTTGCTAGACTCTATAGTATGCACCCTCCTTTATCAAATGTGTCATTTCTCCATTCTACTGATATGTATCCTGGATCCACACCACAGCCATGTTGTATTGGAGACTATGCCATGAGTTGAATACTGTTCATATAACCTATTGTTTTACTTGGGAAAGAATCTTGCAATATGATTGGTTGGCCATGTTCAGCATAATTTGGTTAAAACCTGACTGAAAATTAAGCTGGTGGTGAATGCATCCAGGGTGTCTGTCACGTAAGAAATGAGATACGCTTCACTAGTAAATCGAGGATGTGTGGCATACTAATTTCTAATACTCTGAGCTCAACACTGATCTTTGCATGCTTGACATGAAGTGTTTGGCCTAGTTGTAGAGAAATACCTCACTAATAACAGCACTCATACACATGAAGGAGGGAAAACAGCAGTAACACATTTGGGACATCAAGATCTGGCCACATATTGGAAAAGTGTCCCTTAGTATGAGACTAGTGTCCATGATAGACCCTAGATACAGTGGTAGAAATTATGGGACTGTCACACAGTTAAAATATTTCAGACCTTTGGTCTTATTTCTTAGTGTAACGTTAATCATTAAAAGAATGCCTTCAGATTCAACAACTATTTTGATCACCGTGATTGAAATTGTGATATATTTTTCATACCCTGAATGTCTGAAATATATACTATATTTTTATCAAGAATTTGGGATAATTTGGATTGATGATGTCTTCCTCGATCCATCACATCAAAACTATGTGAAATGTGGTAGGACTGTGTATTAAAATTAAACACTTGAACATTATATATGTAGAATAGTTCTCTGAATTTGCTGTGTGGCATCTTACTCACTTGAAATTGACCATATCACCTTGTCCTCTGACCTTGACCTCACCCTCTTGCGTCTGCTCTAACCGTCTGCTGTGCTTGAGCCTCTGCTGACAGTGTGGCATGTTCTTGTTTTCCTGCATCAGAATGACAGATTTGACAAAACTTTTGGACAGGAGATGGGCGCATTCAATTTCAACGGACGACCACCTGAACCGGATGAACGGTGAGTTATGGGATATGATGTGTATTTGGGCTGTAATTTCAGTAGCTCTTTATCTTGTATGGACTGGTACAAGCTTTGTAGACCATTAGAATTTTTTCTGGACACGGATTTCTTGTGGAACAAGTCAAAGTACTGTGGATATATGTAGTTACGAGAATTCATCCAGTCTTCTTCTCTGATTAAATATTACCTGATCTGAATACTTTGACAAAGGTATCTGGGATAGAACTGATCTTCAGAAACCCATGCTTGTTTGTAAGAGGCGACTAACGGGATTGGGTGGTCAGGCTCGCTGACTTGGTTGACACGTCATAGGTTCCTCATTGCACAGGTCGATGCTCATGCCGTTGATCCCTGGATTGTCTGGTTCAGACTTGATTATTTACAAACCCCTGCCATATAGCTTGAATATTGCTGAGTGTGGCGTAAAACTAAACTCACTCACTCATATAGACAAAGGTCTCAGAGGAACCCAGAGCAATTTTTGGGGCCTGCCAATATAAATGAAAACGTGCCAGTTCTTGAGATGGCAACTTTTTTAAATGATTCTGCTTCATTTCTCATCCCCTTGATTCTGTAATGTCTGTGTTAGCCAAAGAAGACCTCAACAGAACACATATTTTCCTTCAATAGCACACCATTTGTGTGAATATCCCACGGCTGTCAAAAATGACATATTGTATGAAATACCCACAACAACTTTTTCATGATATGCTTCATGCACAGAGATATCATATCATTTTAATGATATTGTACTTGCAAGAAGCTGTGGAAGCAATGGTTCTTTCAAGTGCCATCCTTTAATTTATGATACCTTTGCCAAAGTCTGCCCTGTGATCGTGTGCTCCAGATCAGTCTGAGAAACAGTATACCATGCTCAGATACAGCCAAACTATCTGAATTACCAACAATTTTTGTCAGAATCTTTACCCAAGATCAGTGTTCACGAATTGTGTTTCAAAGTAACAGGACATTGGGTCCTGTAAGTTTCAGATGTCTGTCTGACCCATTCAAAATTCACAGGACCCATAGAATAAAATTAAACACACATTTCATATTTAACATTTCTTATAACTGGCATTGAAATTTTTAACAAACATAATAAGATTTATAAAGGGCAAATGTCACATATAACAACTTCAGTCAAAGTCATTGTGTACAGTCTGACACTGGGGCCAGCGGGTTATAGACTTCTATCGGACCGTTGGTGAATCTGCCGGATTTGTCAGAGGGTCAGACGCTATTCGTGAACACTGCAAGATATTATTAAGAAGTAAAAGTTACCTTACGCAGAAAATTTGAAAATGGAGTTTGATAAGGGTCTCTTCTTTTATTAGAATTATCAATTTTCAAAAACTATTATTTATTATTCAAATTATTCAAATTTCATGGAAGATGACATTCAAAGAAATGATTGTACATGCATTTTGTGAAAGTTAAACTAGAAAATTGTTCTGAAACGCTCATTTGATGTGCTATTGTTTTATATTTGTCCTTCAGTGACCAGCTTATAGAACGACTTCAAAGAGAGATTGAGTTCCTGAAACAAGAGATGCACAGAATGAAGACAGAGGTATTGTTCCCACAACCTCTGGTTGTCAGTTGATAGGATGTTGATTCATGGAAATATCAATATGCTATCAGTAATGTTATAAGATCAAGAGGCACATAATGATTTTCTGCAATTAAGTGTAGCCATATGTGTCATTTGTATCTGCTAGTTTCTCTCTGTAACTGAACCAGCATTGTAAGCATGACCTGAAACTGTACTGTATAGATACAATGTATGTATATTCATTTATCAACATATTGATTCTATGCAGCCATTGTGACGAAAATGTCTTTGATTTGACAAAGAATATAAAACTGAATCGTTGAATGTCACTGCATATCGCTGTATCAATGTACTAATGTGTTCTTAATGTAGATGTATCAGTAGAAAGTTCTGAATATCAGTTCTGAGGGACCGTTCATAATTTATGGCAAGGTGGGGTCACCCATTTTGTTCTGGGGAGGCAAGGGGGTCAAGTTTGTACACATGGACTAGTTGGGGCAGCAATTCTGTACTTAAACATATTTAAATATTTTGCTTAAAAATTAGCTGAGGGGGGCGTGTCACTGATTTTGTACATGACATGCAGCACGGGGTCACTTATTTTGTACATAAATTTGGGGGGGGTCATTCACATTGTACATGCTTCTCCATGACAATCATCATCACCCCCCTAGCCCTAAATTATGAATGGTCCCTTAGTTAATCGTTTACTGCCAGAGAAATGACTAGATTTTCTGAGATCACCATGGATATGATGGTCACTCAGAGGGCGGAAATACAATGAATCAACCTAGTACACGTTTGGTGTTAACTGCTACACAACTACAGGTCTACACATTTAGTATTTATCAATATATTTCAGGGCTCCGTTTCTCAAAGCGACCGTAGTGCTAAGTAACTCCCATACTTTCACATAGACTTACCACTGTTGTAACTCTATGATCGCTTTGAGGAACGGGGCCCAGAATGATTAATGAATGCATTGATTATTATGATACTTTTTGAGTCAGTTGTACGGTTTTCATATTTCATATCAATGTCACCTCTATAATACTATTATTATTGCTATTAACAACAGATGTGATTGTTCTTGAAGTATAAAATAGTATAGTGTGAACTTTTGGTCGTGAACTTTGATAAGTATATGTCTAAGCAGTTGTCACAAGAATTTATGACATGGTTTTGTCTCTTCCAGGATGGTAGAATCATCCAGTCTTTAAAGGATGAAATCAGCAAACTGGAGAAGCTGTTATCAGAACTAAGGCTATCAGCTGATAAAGCATTAAAGGTAAAACATTCATTTCAGTCTGCAAGAAAAATGTAATGTGTTGATTGTTCAGTCATCTGAATTTTATGTGCAGAGTTGCCTCCCTTTGGCACATCATGACCCGATAACTGTGGCTTTGACTCTGCGATTCGTCCTTATAAGTGCTTATGAAATTTACAAAGGTGCTAAATGTCTGGGACTTGCAAGGGCATATTAAGCTGACACTGTGATATGATTGGAATACTGTTAAAGTGGCCAGAAAATCAAACTGTAAGACTTTCTTCTTGAAGAAGACCCGTGAAGATCTGGGTTAGAATTGATCTTCAGTAACTCATGCTTGTCGTAAGAGGTGACTAACAGGATTGGGTGGTCAGGCTCACTGACTTGGTTGGCACATGTCATCGTATCCCAACTGCGTAGATCGATTCTCATACTGTGGATCACTGGATTGTCTGGTCCAGACTCGATTATTTACAGACCGCCGCCATATAGCTCGAATATTGCTGAGTGTGGCGTAAAACTAAACTAACTAACTAACTCTTCTTGAAGAATGCTAAATGTCCAAGACATGCAGGGCAACATTAAGCTGACAAGGTGTGATATGACTGGAGTACTGTTATGGTGGCCAGAAAATCAAACTCACTCACTGTAAGACTTTCTTCTTGAGAAGGAACTTACAGGGGCACATTAAGCTGACATTCACTTTTAAGCATGAGAAGTCAATATTTTTTAATTTGGGGGTGCGGGAAGAATTTTGCTCCAGTTTTTCCTGACCAGCTTGTACTGGTGTTATGTGTTTTCCAGGACAGTGAGACAATGAAGAAGGAGAGAGATGAAGCACAGGCCAGTCTAGATGCCTTGGCAAAGCTACCTGAAGCTGAGAGTGAGTATACTACTTTTGTGCCATTCACTTGTGCGGACCATCTGTAACAAGGGAGATAATTCTGGGATATACAACTTCTCTGTTTCAGTGAAGGTGATGTTTTATAATAGGTTAAATGAGAGATGTCACATTCACTGTAAGGAAGAAGTTATATGTACATAGAATTATCTCCCTTGTTCATCATACCTACATCTCAATGCCGTTTGTAGAAGAAATTGTGAACAGCTGGGTTGCAATGCCAGATTTGGCATGTCTATCATCCCAAACAAAATGTCCATCCGTCTGTCTGCCTGTCTTGTGTTTCTTTATGTGTCCGCAGTAGCTCGGTCGATTGTATATGGAGGATGCTAAACGACCTTCCATGTAGTATCATTTTTAATCAATGAGTTAATGATTTGGTATCAAACAAGTGAAAGCGAAATGGTATTTCATGGAAGCGAGTATCAGCATTGTGATGTCATAACTGTAAACCATTATGACTTCATACGTCCTGCAGTATTACACTAGTGTAATATTGCGTAAAAATGTTAAACTGCAGTAACACTGCGAGTATTAAGTTATCGTATCACATTGTTCAGGAAGTTATATCAAGCACTGGTTGGTCTCCTTGAACTTGGATTTACAGGATGTAATATAGCTAGAATATTTCAAGCTGTGGTTCAAAGCAGTTTTCTTCTTCTTGTTTGACCATGCAGAACAAGCGAAGGCCAACCAAGAGAAGTTCCAGAAGATGAAGGACATCTATGGGAAACTGAGGGAGGAGCATGTGCAGCTTCTCAGGAATGTGAGTATCGTGGGGATGTGAGCATACAGGATGTAGATATTGGGGGATGTTAAGGATGCCACGATACATCGATGCATCGATACTTTTTCTAAGACGATACAATTAACTTTTTAATCTCTGAGAATAAAAAATGTTGATCTTTTCATGGACAGTTATAAAATATGAAATATTAATGTTCAAAATGTAACTAAATTTATGCAATAATGTTGCGAAAATCATTATCGTGATACGTATCGAATCGCAACATGGTTATCGTGATACGTATTGATTCATGAAACTTATGTATCGTGACATCAATAAGGGATGTACTCACAAGAACTTTGTGTTCTGGTGCTGTAACCATTGACAATCTGCCATTGAAGTGGGTATAAACTCCCAACTAAGCTGATTGGGTTTGTGATGATTGTGATGTGGCAGTATCCTTTAGTTGGTCAAAGTTTTGTTGCATTTGTTGATAGCCAGGCATACTACTGGCAGGCTTCAGGACAATATAACATTTAATCTTTCCAGCATGCTGATGTAACAAAACAACTTGCTTCAGAGAAGAAAGCAGCTGATGAGAAGGAGCAAGTTATTAAGGTAAGGGATGATCACTGCACAGTCACCTAATTTGTTTATTTAAATCAAGCTCTGAAAATGATGTCTAATATTTAAGAAGCAGATATTCAGACTGTGACTTGAGGACACCTGTTCACAAACAGGTTCCATGTCCTCATGGGTGGCCAAGTCAAAGATCAAGTCATAGTTTGGCTGTGGAGAGTTACCTCCCTTAGGTGTGCCAGAACCTTTGTTTATGGTCATGGGTTGATCCTCAATTCCCCCTGATTACATTTCAAGGTGTGGATAGTTACCCCCCTTAGGTGTGCCAGAACCTTTGTTTATGGTCATGGGTTGGTTCCTCAATTCACCCTGATTACATTTCTAGGTTTGCCAACACCACTGCCATGCATGAGAGTTTCTGCAAATCATGTTAGACTTTCTTCCCATATATTGACGGAAATAATGTTCAATGAGGCACTAAACCCAACTCACTGTTGATGGTGGTGTCTTTCATAGTCAGATAACAAACAGGCCATTTTGATGAGGTGAGGGGGATTGATGGTCAGTTACTGATAATGATCCTTTATGTTTATGGGATGTTGTGTAGCTTCATAATGTGGTAGTTCTGTTCCTCATAGGATGTGCTTGTGTGAAGACAATCTCTATGGTTCTGTTCCTCACAAGGTTATACTGTGTGTGAAGACCAATCTCTATGGTTTTGGAATGGCTGAAAGTTTGGAATATTGGCGTAAAACCAAACTCACTCACTCACCTAATTTTGGAATGGCTGCAAGTTTCAAGACTACAACCTCACTCACTCGAGATACTTTATTCCAGGATTTTGTTTTGTTATAATCCACAACTGTATGTAATTGTTACATGGTATCAAATAAGCAAAGTAATTTATTGCAATGATTTTTTGTCAAATATGTTTATTTCACACTGTCTGCACTTGTTAAAGCTGTCACTTGTGTTTTAAACTGATCTTCTTGATGTTGCATGGCTTAGTGTTCTAGAGAGAATTCAGGTCACGATTAATAATTTCAACAACCTCAATGCTCACTCACCTAACAGTTTTGACACAGATCACTTTTTTTTTTATCACACTAAACAAATAACAGCTGTGGTTTGTTAAGATTTCCACATCATCATGTGAGAGCTGTTGGAGTATGTGAATATTTGCTGTTTATAACCAGTCTAGTTGGATGTTGTTTTTTACACTTTGTCCTTTGTCAAAGTAGATGTAGATAATTGAAACCAGTGAGTAAAGTATGGTGGTAGAAATCAGTCACGATCTATACATCTCAAAGTAAGTTAAGGACCACCCCATTCCCTCATTTTACTATGGTTGAGGCTAGACAGAAAAAATGAAAAATTTGGGATGATTGTTTTTAGCAGTATATATTTGGATATATTGTATATTTAGTCCTATAAAGGGATTGAGAAGGATCATATTGGATTGAGCTATACAAAATCGTTCCATGTTTTTTTTAAAAATTAGTTCATGTTTTTTTTAAATTAACGATGCTATTTAAACATGTCTGTCTACATTCTTAAGAATCTTATTCATTTCTCTGTAAGGATACTGCTATGTATATGGAAGCCATATGAACAATGTGAAGTGTTCTGGGACATGTATGTTTGCAGTTTTTTCTACAAAATAAGGGGTGTTGGGGTAGCCTAGTGTTTAAAGTGTCCACTCATCATGCCGAAGACCCGAGTTTCGATTTCCCACATGGGTACAATGTGTTAAGTCCATTTCTGGTGTCTCCTGCCGTGATATTACTAAAAGTGTCGTAAAACTAAACTCACTCACTCATTCTACAAAATTAAACAGAACCTAAATTTCAACAATTTTTATGCACTAAAGTACAGAAAACAATTACCTTCTTTTGGTTGACCCTTCCCATGACCTCCTACGTCTGTTTTACAGTCCATTTTCACAACTGACCAACCCTTCTGCTCTGTGAAACCCCTCAGTTCTAGTTTTCCTCAGATTCTGCATCTCCGAGCTCACTGGGGCTTATGTTCAATTAAAATGGAGATACATGTACTTGTTTCTCTCAAAATTATATCTTTTCAGAGACTAAGCATTTGTCTATGTCCCTCCCTGAATAGACCAGAGGTAAAAGCCCTACCTTTAAGTATAGTGTGTCCATTTCTTCATGATCTTTCCAAAATATTTTCATGACCACTCCCCCTATAATTAATGAGGTCTCCCAGGGCAGTTGTAGATTGTGAACCTACCTGAAATTGGTGGCTGTGATTGGTGGAATATTTGATAGGAGAGTGAAGGCTTACAGCTGTGTAGGGTTGCTCTAACCGTCTGTGCATGACCTGCCTATTGTGATGTGCATGCCCTGTGTTGATGTGATGTCAGGAGGCAAAGATGGACCTCCAGCGCCTCGAGGAAGAGAAGCAGGTCATCCACAATAACCTGCAGAAAAGTGCAGATGAGGTCACTGGACAGCTGGCTGAAGTCACTGGTAAATGTTCTATGCTGGAGAATCAGAAAGAGGTGAGGGCCATGTCACGTTTGCAGCAGCAGATCCTGGCTTGTGCATGCTGCTACTGTGTTTAGCTTTGTGTGGGTGAATGGGTTTTGTGTTGAAAGGGTCAAGGATGGACTTATGCAGATAATGAACGGTAAGTTGGCTCTAAATGCAGAAAGTACTACAGAGGACTTGGATGTCATTTGTTATTATGAACTTCATTACTTGAAATTAATAAATTTGTCCACTTGCAACAATATGTCAATTTTTCACTGTTTTTGATGTTGACATTAATTGATTTAATGTCCTGTGCATTTAACAGTCTGTGCCCTAAAGATTTGTCTACTTATCCGAACATGGCTCTAAACGACATTTTGGCCTTTCTCAGAATTACTGAAAAGAATTTTACCAGAATCTGCACAGGAGTAGTGATGATAATTTTGGGAAGTGTTGAATAGCAGGCAAGATATATTATAGACATAATTGGCCCACTTATAGTTAGAACCACTGATCCCTGTAAACATGGAGGTCTGTCACCGCAAGGTAAGATTTCATAGTCATATAAGCATGTCTGCTTGTTTGCCGTCATAGGGGAGACAACTCTCAACAACAAGCATGTGTTAAGGAGAGATAACCCTACCGAGCAGTGTGGTATGTATGGTCAGCATGAACTAACAGCATGTCTTATGTGGCTGTGAAAGGTCTCTACAGCTCGCCTGAACATAACAATGGTGTCGGTTAATGTATTGGCAGGCTGCTGGCTTGGATGAGTTCTATGAGGGATGGCAGAAGAGCAAGGTAATGCTAGGTTGCTGTTGAATCTGTGTATGAGACAGTATATGTATACACATCATTTGTAATCAATCCAGCTTTTGTATCATAAACATTCCCATGTAGCCACTCCTGCTTATATACCGATGATGCTTATGAAGATCATTCAGTTCACCAACCTTGATCTTACCAATGTGTTGTAACATATTTTGTATGTACTGAATAGGGGTGGTGGGGTAGCCTAGTGGTTAAAGCGTTGGCTCGTCACGCCGAAGACCCGGGTTCGAATCCCCACATGGGTACAGTTTGTGAAGCCCATTTCTGGTGTTCCCCGCCGTGATGTTGCTGGAATATTGCTAAAAGTGATGTAAAACCAAACTCAGTCAGTCAGTCAGTATGTACTGAATAAATAAAATAGACAACCTGTAGCTGAGGAAGATTACGGAAGATGCCTTCTTGGTTTGGTGTTATTACCCAGTTGGGAATTTCATTTTTTATCAAAGCATACACAGTTATGATCCAACATATATCTACATGATTGTGGTCTCACATGCCTAAATATTTATTTATAAGGCGAGAGGCGGTGGGGTAGCCTAGAGGTTAAAGCGTTCGCTCGTCACGGCGAAGACCTGGGTTCGATTCCCCGCATGGGTACAAGGTGTGAAGCCCATTTATGGTGTCTGCCACAAAGATATTGCTGGAATATTGCTAAAAGCGGCGGAAAACCATACTCACTCACTCATAAGGCGACCGCCATAGAGCTGGAATATTGCAGAGTGCGGCGTAAAACTAAAACTCATAAGGCGAAATAATTGCCTAAATATCACATCATAGTAACCCTTCTGACCAATAGCCATGTGATGGTGACAAAGACATGTGCCTGAAGGTCACTGTATTTAGAAGCGTCAATATCTTTTGTTGTTTTTCATTTTAGGACCTTGATAGTAAAGTAAAGAATTTAGAGGACAGCAAATCTTCTCTAGAATCCCAGTTAGAGGAAAGTCAGACATCAGTCGCCTCCCTTGAATCCCGTCTGTCTGAGGTGCAGCAAGGAGGGGACCAGCGAGAGCAGGAGCTGTGCGGTCAGCTGTCCTCACTGCAGGCAACTTTGTCCACCACACAGAAGGAGAATGAGGAGAGTGAGAAGAGGCTGAGTGAACAGGTGTCCCAGCTGCAGGCTCAGTTGGACCAAACTCTGGCTGAGAAGGCCTCGAAAGAGGAGTCTCTGACCCAGACGCTTGATAAACTGCAGAAACAGTTGGATCAGCTGAGGACAGACAAGCAGGACAGTGAAAGTCGGCTTGGTGGACAGATTGATGACCTGCACAAGAAGCTGTTAGGTGAGGGTGTAGTGAGTGAGTTAGAATCTAATATTGCATCAGCAATATGTCGGGCATATTGCAACAAGACCAGCAACACATTCCCAGTACCTCATGCTGAATTAAACAAGAATCTTGTCATTACAATGACGCTGATGAGGCTGATTGTGCATAATTCAGCCCTAAATAAGGGATATTTCCTCATGCTATCAATCACAGGTTTGTCTGGACTGGATTATTTACAAGACACTGTGATACATGCTTGATTGGCATGTTAGAAGATGGATTTGATAAACATACAGAATTTTCTGGATTTCATCTTCTATTTATTCTTTGATACAATGTTTTGGGGCCTGTTCTGGCCCCATCATCAGGTAAAACTGATGAACAGTAACAGTCACAATACACTGTGATACAGTTAAAACCAGGCTGATAGCGAAGTAATCACTCCATCACTTAGGATACTATAGGGCAATATGAACCAAGTAAACTACTTATGTATACAGCATGTTAGGAAGAAGTGTATCTATTGAGTGAGGAAGGCTGACATGTGCCTGTATTGCAGAGAGGGGCGTGTCAGAAGGAAAGGCCATAATACAGGACGCCCTGGAGCAGAACGAGAACCCAACACACACAACTGTCACCTGTACAGCAGGTAGGCTGACCAATACAGTGATAAGAGCACAGCCTTGTGTCAGTCAACTGAAAAGGCATTCTGCTGGTAGCAATATGTGATTAGCTGCAGGGATTAATCTGGCCACTCAGAGGCTGTTTGGTACCAAGTCTGCGGATAACAACAGTGAAAGTTCCCAATTTGGATTTAAAAATTCCCAGTACCACATGAATAACCAAAATGAAAGCATAGTAAATTAATATGAATGACCAGAGTTTGGTCTGGACTGAATACAGCAAAAGAAATTATTTTATCCTATGAAGTTAAGTACTTACAGTTACTGTTAAAAAGATTTGGAGTGTATTAGTTTTATTTTACATTTACTTCCATTTATGCTTCCAGTAGAAGTCAATCATTACATCCTGTTTAGTGAAATGTGTTCATGATGTCGATCTCTAGTTTATGTGCTCCAGGCCGTCTTGGTATGAAGCTGAGTCTTTTGTTTCCAGAATATTTACTGATGAGGGCAGAACCTCTGTTGGAGAGTCTGACGAAGCTACGACAGAGTCATGGTGCATACACTGGGGAAAAGAAAGGTGAGGTTTCCATAGGTATGCAGGGGTGGAAATAACCCATTGCCTGACATCCGAGTCCAGTGTTTTTTTCTGTCGGGCAAGCAAATTTGTATATCACACTGTACCGGTGTCCAGTTGACTTTCCGATGTTAATTATGTTGTTTCTTTTAAAAAATCAACAAGAAAACGGCAGGTATAGTGGAAAAATTATCAGGGCAAGTGATTTTCCATGTGCCACTGTTCCGGAGTACACTAGCAATTTTAAAGTTATTTCCACCCCTGGGTATGGAAATAATACCTGCAGTTATACTTTGTAGGACTACTTGTACGACACCTGGCATGACAACTGGTTTGAAACCTTGTAAGATAGGACTACAAATAGTATCCTGTTAGTTTAAACTCCCCAAATTTGTTATACTAGAAAATGTCTAGGACAACATGGTTTTGTTCATGTCACTATAGTTAATCTGTCATGGCTTCCACTTATTTTGATCGTTTCAAAGTTGTGTCAGAAATCAAATTTCTATGTCATCTTAATGGCTGATTTTGAAGTTTCTTTTTTTCAGGTATCAGATTGTGTGGTAGGTCTTCATACTGTGGAATTTAACCTGTTTGTTTCAGATTTAGATATACTGATTGGTACAATCAGCATGTTTTCACATCGAATGAGTGACTGTATCGTGCATGGGTTTGCCACGTCCCACTCTGCACAGATAGAGCCGGGGGAGGAACTAGCCAATGCTTGTCGAGATACAGGGACTTCCGGGGTGTCACTGCTGGATGCTGTTGGCAAAGGTAGGCTGTGTGTATCTGCTGTCAGAGGCCTTGTCTTTGATTTAAAGGACAGGGCCCCGTTCCTCAAAGCGATCGTAGTGCTATGACAGTCGTAACTCCCATACTTTATCATAGACTTACGACTGTCGTAGGGCTACAATCGCTTAGAGGAACAGGGCCCTGTGGCAAACATGCTGACTCAGGATATTGATATCATAATGAGACTTTGTTTTTTCTATCAATCTGAGTGGTGGACACCTTCTTCCATCAAAAGGAGGATAATTTTATTGTTGATTAACAGTGTGAACATAACCTTACCCTGATAATCTTGTATATTTGTGACAGTGAGTACTGTCAGCTATTGGGGATTTGTTCTCAAGATTATCACTGTAACCTTTTAGTGCCCGACAGGCAGCTAGGGTTGTAGTCACCCCATGAATAGTGAATAGTATCTATAGATAAACCTTGTTGTTTTCTGACCATTTTATGAATCACTGTTGACTGTGAAGCAACATTCACTTTTAGTGTAAAGTTGTTTGCCTTTTCTTGTAGGTGGCAGTGCAACATCCGAGGTGGATGATTGCATCCAGAAAGTGCAATATTTGATGAAGCTGGCAGAGGACCTAGTCCCCAAGATGGAGGACGTCAAAGCCGAGGAGATTGGGGACCTAGTGGACAAGGAGATGTCCTCAACAACCAAAGCCATTGAAGAGGCAGCAAGGAAGATAGAGGTGAGTCACACTTGCTCTGGACACAAACTAGGCAGATCCTTCAAGAGTCTTAAGGTGCTACCCAGCAAACTTTATTCCCTGTTGGGTGCATGTGAATCTGATCTCTTTTCTTTCCTGGGTTTGAATTGGTCCCCAGCAAACAAATGCATGCACACACGCACCATTCAAGCACATAAGATGTGGAAAGCTAGATGTTAGTCTGAACCTGCTCTGTTTTTGTTCAACAGGAGATGCTGCAGAAGACGAGGGAGGACAATACGGGTATCGAGCTGGAGGTGAACGAAAGAATCTTAGACGCCTGCACAGCTCTCATGAAGGTCAGTAAAGGGAGACCACTCTAGTGACATGAAACTGTTCCTTGGATGAAATTGTAAGCAGCTTGAATATGAGCGGAACATATGTCTTTCTTCATTCCAGGTCCACTCGTGAAGGTCTGGGTTAGAATGTGCCTTCAGTAACCCATGCTTGTCGTAAGAGGCAACTAACAGGATCGGGTGGTCAGGCTTGCTGACTTGGTTGACACATGTCATCGGTTCCCAATTGCGCAGGTCGATGCTCATGCTGTTGATCACTGGATTGTCTGGTCCAGACTCGATTATTTACAGACCGCTGCCATATAGCTGGAATATTGCTGAATGTGGCGTAAAACTAAACTCACTCCCTCACTCCATGACAAGAACAACATTGGTTTCTTGAGAATTTAAAGTTATTTTTAGAATATTTTGTTTGTGGACAATCCTTCTTGAACAGTTGCTCTCAGTTAAAAGTCATATATTTTTAGAAGATGGGCCTGGTTTGGCATATATTTTTCTCTCTCATGTGTTGCTATTCCAGTTTAACTCTGGTGTGTGTTCATAAAACAGGTACCTTTACCAGTAATGTGTTTGCTCTATATTTTTGACTCACTTTAGCTGTGTCTTGTTTCAGGCCATTAAGGTGCTAATAGAGAAATCCAGGGATGTGCAGAAGGAGATTGTACTTCAGGGCAGGGTGAGTAGCCAACTGTCCAGGGTGGAGATGTTATCATTGCCTCGTTTTTGGGGTGTCATAATTATCAAGGGCCATATGTGGCCAGGCAGTTGTAGTTGCCAGAATTCCTTGGTTTATAATTTTAGTTTGAATCTCAGCTCAACCAAGCTGCGACTTTTCTTTATCTGAAGAATATGTGTACTTTCAGGGTTTAATAGAAGGGGCTGTCTTCAGTGCCCAAATCACTTTGTATGTTCCTTCTACACAAAGCTGACACTCACTGATATCAGTGACATGTTGACACTCTGTGTCCACTGGCCTTGAGTTAGGATCTTGTCCAAAGCTGCCAGTGTTTGTTCATTTTAGCTGCAACACTGTAATCCTCACAGAGAAGCTGATATTCGGTGTTAAGAGTGAAATGTCCTGGGGAGCTGTTAACTGAACTCACTCACCCTCCCTATGTCACCAGGTCACTGGTACATCCACAGTAGCTCCATGTGTCTTTTTGAATGTTCAGGGGTGGTGGGGTATCCTAGTGGTTAAAGTGTTTGCTCGTCACGCCACAGACCCGGGTTTGATCCCCCACATGGGTACAATGTGTGAAGCCCATTTGTGGTGTCCCCCGGGCGTGATATTGCGGGAATATTTCCAAAAAATGGCATAAAACTCATCTCACTCACTGAATGTTTCAGGGGACGTCGACAGCCAAAGATTTTTACAAGAAACATCACCGCTGGACAGAGGGTTTAATATCTGCTGCCAAGGCTGTGGGCTTTGGTGCCTCCACACTCATGTAAGTAACATTAGAAACATAGAGAATATGTTGTGTGTTTGCTGTGTTACATCATTGTTCACTGAGTGGATGTGGATGTTTGCAGGGAGGCAGCAGACAAGCTGGTGAAGGGTGAGGGCAAGTTTGAGGAACTGATGGTGTGTGCCCAGGAGATCGCAGCCAGCACAGCACAGCTTACTGTAGCCTCCAAGGTCAAAGCTGATCGAGGGAGTCAAGGATTGTCAGAGCTGTCTCGGGCGTCAAAGGGAGTTAATCAGGCCACAGGAAATGTTGTGGCATCTGCCAAAACTGCATCACAGATAGTTGAAGATAAGAGTAAGTCAACTTTCTGCCATTTTTGCTGGGTTTGGTTATGTTCATGAAAAATAGGTTTTGTTATTATTTGTCTCATATAACCTAAAATCCACACAAATATTATTCACAAATGGTATTTCCCATAAGAATTGATTGCCAAAACAATGAAAATTGCAAGTTAGTTTTATCTCAGGTTGTTATCTCCCCTGTATCCATGACAACTAAATGATATTGACTGATTGTGTGATATTTACTGTGTAGAAGCATGATCTGCATGTACAATCAAAGTCAATCACTGTCAAACACTTCAGCTTCCAATATATTACTGTACTGGTACCTGTATCACAGTATATAGTCATGCAATTCCTTTAACCAACACACAGTCCTCACTGAAACAGATGCTCACTCTTCAGTCCCTGAAGGCAATGTGGGTTTGATAAATGCCCCAGGTCCTTACATAAAGGGAGAACCAGTTCCTGATAGGGTCATCTTAATTGGATTCTGTATCAGAATATGTCCCAAGTACCTCATGCTGATCTAAAGCATGTGATCTGAGGCACTGTGGCAACCTGAATCTTTTTTGTTATGATGTTCAAAAGCATCATTACCAAAACTCAAGCATTATGTATAATTATATATTGAGCAGCAAGTGCAGCCTGTTTTTGCCTCGTGAAAGTAGGTTTCATTTCCTAAAATCAAGCCCCAAGTAGTCAGGCTCACTCAGACCCGACTTCACTTGTAAACACTTGCTACCGCCTGTAAGCAGGAGATGTACACTGTCGTTACTGTTTCAGATCTGATGGACTTCACCCAGCTGTCTCTCCATGACACAAAGAAGATGGAGATGCAGACTCAGGTTAGTGGGATACCCAATGGTTGTACAAATGTACAAATTGCTGATCTCAAGCTTGGACTATTTTGGACTGTCTTCAATGTTTTCTCATTTCGCCCTGTGTCACACTGTGCAATCACTATGACATGCCATAATATAACTGGAACACTGTTCATAGCACCATTTAATAAAACCTATTTCATATGTGGTCATATGTTCTAACTGTCCTACCATGTCTCATCACATGCTGGCCTTGTCTCACCATGTCTCATCACATGTCCTTGTCTCACCATGTCTCATCACATGCTGTCCTTGTCTCACCATGTCTCATCACATGTTGTCCTTGTCTCACCATGTCTCATCACATGATGTCCTTGTCTCACCATGTCTCATCACATGTTGTCCTTGTCTCACCATGTCTCATCACATGTCCTTGTCTCACCATGTCTCATCACGTTTTCCTTGTCCTACCATGTCTCATCACATGCTGTCACTGTCTCACCATGTCTCATCACATGTTGTCACTGTCTCACCATGTCTCATCACATGTCCTTGTCTCACCATGTCTCATCACGTTGTCCTTGTCCTACCATGTCTCATCACATGCTGTCACTGTCTCACCATGTCTCATCACATGCTGTCCTTGTCTCACCATGTCTCATCACATGTCACAGTCTGACCATGTCTCATCACATGCTGTTCTTGTCTCACCATGTCTCACCATGTCCTTGTCTCACCATGTCTCACCGCATGTTTTCACTGTCTCACCATGTCTCATTCCATGTTGTCCTTGTCTCACCATGTCTCATCACATGTTGTCCTTGTCTCACCATGTCTCATGTTTTCACTGTCTCACCATGTCTCATCACATGTCCTTGTCTCACCATGTCTCATCACATGTTGTCCTTGTCTCACCATGTCTCACCATATGTCCTTGTCTCACCATGTCTCACCACAAGTTGTCCTTGTCTCACCATGTCTCACCACATGCTTTCAGTCTCACCATGTCTCATCACATGCTGTCACTGTCCGACCATGTCTCATCACATGTTGCCACTGTCTCACCATGTCTTATCACATGTTGTCCTTGTCTCACCATATCTCATCACATGTTGTCCTTGTCTCACCATGTCTCATCACATGCTGTCCTTGTCTCACCATGTCTCACCACATGCTTTCACTGTCTCACCATGTCTCATCACATGCTGTCACTGTCCGACCATGTCTCATCACATGTTGCCACTGTCTCACCACAATCTGTCACTGTCTCACCATGTCTCATCACTGTCTCGCTTGGGTGTCCAGGTGCGTGTGATTGAGCTGGAGACTATGCTGGAGAAGGAGAGGAGGAAGCTGGGTGATCTGAGAAAGCAGCACTACAATCTGGCCGGGGAAAGCGAGGGATGGGAGGTGGGTACCAACTGTACACATCTCACACTGCATGAACCATACACACTTGTACTCAGACTGTATAGTGGACTATTACATGTACAGCTGGAAGATGGGATTTAATGTACCATATTCACCATAATAAGCACCATGGAGTGGCCAAGCTGATAAAAGCATGTCTACAATGTATTTTTCTGTAATAAATGTTAGAGCTGTGACGATACATCGTAGTATCGATAATCGTGATACTTTATCTGACGATAAATATATCGATACTTTTGTTCGTATTGTGATATGCATCGTTGACCTTAAAATTGTGAATGTTCACTAGAAATTGACGGTTTTGTAAAAATTTACACTGTTACTTGCTATCAAAATATACTTTTTTTTAAAGAAAATAACTAAAGATAGCATATCATGATATGCATCGAATCGAATCGTAAGATATCGCGATATGTATTGTATCATGACATTTCCGCATCGTCACACCTCTAATAAACGTGTTCTATACACGAAAAGATGCAGAGTGTTATAACTGTTCCGCCATAGTAGTAGGTGCTCGCAAAGACAAACTGGTTTAGAAGTTCGGGGGCCATGTGAAGCAGAATGCTTATAAGATATGGTGAATATGGTAATAATTTGATTATATGGGTCAAGGTTGTATTATATCTAGATTATTCCAGCAATTTCAGTTTTGTTCATTTCTCTACCGAAACACAAATCAAGCAGAAAAGGTCAAGGTTATTTTTGTTGTCATCATAATCATACATCGTAGTTGGTTTCAGGAACACTTCTCAACCAAACAGTAGTGATTTTTAATCTTAATCTTTTTCAAATAATGCTTTCTATTCCCTAACACCTTACAACTGTCACTGAATGCCTGGATTCACTTCCTGGTACGGGCACTAAGTGTGAGGTCTGTCTGTATTCCTTGCTGTGATATTGCTAGAATATTGCTAGAATATTGCTGGAATATTGCTAAAAGTGGCATAAAACCATACAGAGTCACACACTAGTTTCTCCTACAGATGTACAATAACAGTATTTTGAGCATTGTTTGGGTTTTCTTGATCATATTGGAAAGTAGTAAACGTCATTAATAACACCAACATTCATAATGCAAATAGGAAGGAGAGGAGAATGGACTTGGGGAAGATGTCAACGTAAGTTTCTTCAAATCAAGACATTTTGTTGTTTTTGCAGCCTCAAATTTCCATGTCATTTCCATTAAAACAATATGCAGATTTGAAATGAAAAGAAGTTTAAATTTTGACAAATTTGAAATGACATGTAAATTTTGCTGCGCCCCCCAAAACGTTAAACAGGCTGGTATTATGAAATATGGGCTGGAACATCAAGGTTGGCAAGTGGCAAGTGTTCAGGTCAGAATATCAAACTGTCGATGAATTCAGGATTTACATCTGAGTCATAGTTTAGTTTTTCTAGAGAATAACCTCATCTTTGATATTTGACGGAAGATTTTTTTGGACATATTCAAATATTCACTTCACTTAGCATGATATTGGTAATTGATGATGATGGTTCTGTTGCATACCAAAATAAGGTTCACAATTTTCACTTGTGCATGTAGACAAACCACAGTTACTATGACTTTAGTGCCAGCACGTGTGGATAAAGAGCAATGCAAATACTTCACACCAAGTCACCTTGATCGTTCTGATGTTTGGATAAGCATCACCGTACACTCTCAGCTTTCTGCACAGACAGTGGAACACGTAGTGAATGTAGTTGTGTGGTAGAGACATGGAGTACGTAGGGTTATATAGGCCCCCAGTATCCCATGCATACAATAAGAACTTGCTAGAAGGATACCTGGATATAAGGCTGATAGTATGTCCATGACCTTGATGATGGTTACTGCTCATGCTGTCAATCACTGGTTTGTCTTTCTCTTCTATAACCGGACCCTATGGGAACTTCTGCCTGGGTCTTACATTGGGGCTTAGATAGAGATACTAACAGCTCTACTATAGGAAGACTTCTAGTTACCTCAATGTTCTCAGCAGAAACTAATTCATGTTTTGCTTGGATATTCAGATTCTGGAATATTATCAGAACTAATTCAAGTAATTGCTAATTTCCTACCTTCATATCAATTCAGGCATTCAAGGATTGGGTAATATCAGCAATATGTGGTAAATAATGATAAATTGGTAATACCCAGTTCAACTGTTCTGAGATGGCCCAATGGTCAAAGAAGCTGTACCTCTGTATGTAAAATTGCATCCCCTATCAGTGCCAGGATTAGCTATCTAAAGACCTGATTCATTCCAGTTAAAGTGTCACCCTTGCTTCATAAATGTATTAAAGTCCCTTTTAAGTAAAGATTTTAGTTGATATGCACTATTTTCAATGCTCATGTTATAAAAGCTTGTCCAGTTTTCAAATGAAGCAAATACTATGACAGCAGACCTGCTGTATTTCCACTGAACAGTCTATGCAGAAAGCATGAGGGTTTGTATGAGTTGATGTCACTATCTCCACATCATCCAGTTTCATACGTCAGCCTTGTTGATTCATGTCACTAGTCACGGATAGCATGCTTCCAGCATCCGGCCACGGCCAATACCTGTTGTTATCACACTAACATTCTGTTACCAACGGATACGTTACCATGTGGGCATTCAAGCATCAACCGTACATCATTCCATCAATATGTTGTCAACTCTAACAAACACACATTGATTATGTCAAGTTACTGAATTTGCGCAAATATTGGTTTCTGATAAAGGGTTCAAATTTGTTATAAATAGGTCCTATTTCAAATTTGATATGTCCATAAATTTGAAGATAATTATCTTTCGTAAGAGCTCACAGGTGCGTAGCAAGCCATTTTTTTTTCCCGTATAAGCCCACTAGGTTGCAAAGCGTCATATTTAGATCGTATTGAGGACTTGTCCAACCTTTTAGCAACAATCATGTGTAAGCCCGGGGAATTTTTTTATAATGGTAGCTACACCCCTGGCTCAGGTTTAGGTTTTATGGAACCAGAGTTGCTTTGTTTTCAAAATCAGTTTCTGTCTGACTGACTCAATGTGTGTTTCCAACTGGGACAAATCTAACACTGTTAACAATTACATTTAGTTCCTTTTCACTCACGCTATGAATACTGAATCCAATTTATGGGCAAAGATTGATTTGAAAATGTGTAAAATCTTTGTAAAATCATTTTCTTTCTTGAGTTTCTGAAATAACAGTCTTTTCACTAGCAGCATAAGTTGATATTCTGTCCAGCCAAACAAATAATTGAATTGGTTTACCAATCCCTCCTGGATTCCGCGATTCCGCGGTTGCAGAATATATCGCGGAAATTACCTTTTGATGCAGAAAAATGTCTGGTCTGCGGAAAATGCATTATCATGCAGAATACCTGCAGAATTTGCCATTTTTCTGCCGCAGAATTTACTTATTTTGAAAGTTGAATCAAGATTGACTATATTTTCAAAATATTCACGAATAAAGATGATTTATTCATAAGGTAATATTTTCTTCAGCACCTTACAATAATATTATTTGAATTTGAATTTGACACTGCAATTATGTTCATCAAATCGATCTTTTTGAAAATTCAAATTGCATTATTATGTGTGTTTTTTTCAAGTTTTTAACTGCAGAATTTTTGCAGAACTTTGAAAAATGGGATGCAGAATTTACTTAAATTTACTGCAGAATTCTTAAAAATTCATCGCGGAATCCAGGAGATCAAAGGTGATCTGTCAAACTAACACCATCTGGCTCACAGTAATGGTAAAATGGTCAAATGGAGGAAAGAAATTATAAAAAAAACATGACAAACATTTGTAGCATTCTTTTCAAATATTTTTGCCCGAATATGACTTGATCTAGTCAAGTTAACATCAGTTCTTCGCTTGCCAGTTCAACATTTTTGGAATGACTTATTCCATATATACTACACAATGCAGCTAACATGCCTGTTGCTGCCATTTAGAATAGATGCACAGAATATTTTTATGGCCATATTTGTTTTCTATCTTTATTTGAAAATTGGATGACATCTTTGGAATCTTGTCTTGCTGTTGTAAAATATTCATTGTACACTCTTTGACATATACACAATTTAACAGCATTCTGTTTTCACAATTTATTTCTGAAATCTTCCTGATCTAATAATCCATGTTTGATTTTGCATGGACTCAAGACATTTATTTTCTTGGCAAGTGAATTCTTGCATGCATTTCACAAAGCTGTTTTTAAGAGGACATATTTATTTTTGATGTACATTTTTTCACATACTACATCAGTGTTAATTGATGTTGGAATTCTTTGAAAGGTTTTCCAGTGCTATTATCATGTTTATTCCATACCTATTTTTAGATGAGTGTTAGGACATCCTGTTTGGCTTGAAAAAGCATGTTTGAGTGTCGTCTTAAGTGTGTTAAGTTTGAAATATATTTGATGTGCATCCACCTGACAGGTCAGATATTTGTAATTGTTTCTTGGGATAGACCATGTATTTTATGGATGATGGAGCCGAGAGTTTTCACCCTTGGATGTGCCCAAAACGTGTAATCCGTCCCAAGTGTACACCAGTTATGTTTTTGTGAACCTTCACAAGTCTATCATTAAAACAGGGTGGTGGGGTGGCTTCGTGGTTAAAGGTGTTAACTCAACGCACCAAAGACCCGGGTTCGATTGGCATAAATACATACTGTCTTTCTATTATCAAAGTGTTTTTATGACATTCTCCACGAACGTTTTTAGGTTATCACAAAAAATAAGGAATACTATAAATATTTCTGTTATGATAAGGGGTGGTGGCATTGTCCTCTTGAGGCTTTCGCTCTTCATATTAAAGATGTTGATTTGATGCCCCTTGAACACATGCAACCCATATATGGTGGCCGCTGGTGCTACGCAGCTTCAATATTGCTTCCAGCAGTGTAGAACCCAACTCACTCACTTGCTCAAAGGAACAGTAACCTGCTACTTGTGTGTAATTTCAAGACCTACTGACTTGTCATGTCAGTACACTCCCTGTCTCCTCTCTGATCCACCCAACCACAACAGACCACCTCTAGTCCTCCCCCAGAACAATCATATCTTAGTTGGCTTCAGTCAGCTACATGCTTGTCAGAACTCAGCCATGTACCTTAATCCACCCACAACAGACCGCCTTTAGTCCTCCTCCAGAACAATCATATCTTAGTTGGCTTCAGTCAGCTACATGCTTGTCAGAACTCAGCCATGTACCTTAATCCACCCACAACAGACCACCTCTAGTCCTCCCCCAGAACAATTATATTTTAAGAAAAGCAAGATTTATGGATGTCAACTTCTTCGTTTCGGGGTGTATGCTTACTCCTTCATCAGGATTCACCGGAGTAAGCATACACTCCGAAATGTTGTGTTATTCACAATAAGAAGTTGACATCCATAACTCTTGCTTTTCTTATGCATACCACTTCTAAATGCCCTTCAAAGATTTAATTATATCTTAGTTGGCTTCAGTCAGCTTAATGCTTGTCAGAACTCAGCCATGTACCTTAATCTCACACAACAGACTGCCTCTAGTCTTCCCCCAGAACAATCATATCTTAGTAGGCTTCAGTCAGCTACATGCTTGTCAGAACTCAGCCATGTACCTTAATCCACCCACAACAGACCGCCTCTAGTCCTCCCCCAGAACAATCATATCTTAGTTGGCTTCAGTCAGCTACATGCTTTGTAGCAAAATCGCCCCTAATTTTGCAACCACTGAAGTTGAATGTTTTTGTAAAAGAGTGTTGTTGACATAATTATTTCAATTTTTATGACATTTGAATGTTCTTGAATTATTGTATGATTTGAACATGTTTTTAGTTATAGTGAAAATTGAGTGGTTATGAATAATCATAAGACTGTTTTTAGCACACTGTTTTAGCATAGTGGTATGACATGTAATTTAGAGGGATGGGTGATGGTCAGTGATGGATTTATGATGTCTGAAATAAAGTTCAAGGGGATAATGCCAATCATGATTCAGACTGAAAGAAAATGTTTTCATTTTATCAATTTGATTCTTATTTTTTTAGAAACTATAGCTGTTATATAATGCATGTTATTCAAGAGACATCAAAGAACGCTCATGTTACTATAGTCAATTTGTTATGGCATGACAATATATTAATGTTTGGAAAAAAATGGAAGTAGTGTACGTCTTTTGAATAGTGTATGTCAGTAATTTTTCATGGTAAATACTAAGACTGCTGTATATATGTGGTGTTTTTCTAGTCCAACGTGCCAGTGTACAAAGACTGGCTGGGTCCGTGGGACTCTGATATGTTGTGAACATTCTCGGGTAACCACGGTAACTGGTAAGAGATGCATGGTGTGGTTTGCACCTGGTTTTGCCACATACTAAGGTGGCTGCAGTTATAATCTTGATGGTTCATTGACAGCATGGTGTTTGTTTCATTGTACTGTTACTTCTGTTATTGGGAGACAAGTTGATGTTATGAGATGTTTACTACAGGTTGTATGGATTATAATATACTGAATGGGGAACAGGCATCCATGAGGTTTCAACCCGTTGAAAATGTGGGTTAGAACTGGTCTTCAGCATCCCATGCTGCTCATATGAGATGACCTACGGGATATATGGTCAGTCTCACAGACCTGATTGATGCATGGCATTGTATCCCAGTTGCATATTGTTGCTCATGATGTCAGTCACAGGATTGTCTGGTCCAGGCTCGATCATTTACAGATTGCTATCAAAGTGTGGTGTTAATTAAGAAATGGGGGCCTGACCGTGTCATGGTGTCCCACAGACATACACTGATGCTCATACTGTCAATCACTGGTTTGTTTGACCCACATGTTGGGATACAGCAGTGAAAAATATCTGCTGGTTTTTTTTAACTGGGAATTTCTTTCTTGCTGCTTTACTCAAGGACAATGAAGATGCTTCTCATCAAGATATTCTTATTGTTTGAGTTGTCATTAATCTTTGGAAGTGGCATATTTTTCATATTAAAAAGAGTTTACGAAGTCAAAAAACAACATATTTTTAAAATATAAACCATAACTTACTATAGATTGTTTGCATGATTTGTGATGTTAGTGATCAATACTCTAATAACAGGTATGTGATTCAAAATGTATCACTGATTTTATATTCAGATATATTTTATGTTTCATTTCAATCTGATTCAATAATCTTTTAGTTTGAAACATTATTTGAAAAATATATTAAAATCACTTTTCTGTAAGCTTAAAAATTTCTACTCAAAAGATGTTGAAGACTAGTTTTATTGATACATCACACATGGGGTGTCCTTAACTTCTTGAACCCGTGAAGATCCGGGTTAGAATTGATCTTCAGTAACCCATGCTTGTTGTAAGAGGCAACTAACAGGATCGGGTGGTCAGTCTCGCTGACTGGGTTGACACATGTCATAGATCGATGCTTATGGATTGTCTGGTCCAGATTCGATTATTTACAGACCGCCACCATATAGCTGGAATATTGCTGAGTGCGGCGTAAAACTCACTCACTCCCTCTTACCTTCTTGCGATGAGTTTCTGTTGGTGTGAGTGTAGTGCCAATAGCTGCTGAGTTTTGCCAGTATTTAATACCAACACTTGGGTTCATACACTAAGACTGTTTGATAAATAAAGTCACCGTTCATGAAACTTGTTTGACCACAGTATGTGCAGATTTTGCAGTAGGATAGCTTCTTGTAAGGCGTGCTGTCAGAGTTGTGCATGAAGGACACAGTTGCCTCCCTTCCTACAGTTCTGTAACAGCATGGTCAGGGCGGAGTGCAAAGTTCTTGGGGAATCCAGATTTTAGGGGACAAGCATGTTTTGTGTTCTGTCAGACTGAATTTGAAAGTCTTAGTGGTTTTTGAGTAATATATTCTTGTTAGTAAATCTTAGTGTCTTAGTTGTCATTTTTTATTCAGCGTCAAGTGAGCAAATTTCCTAAAATGATTTTTTATTGTTTAATATTTCTTATTCAAGTAGGCTTTGAAGATATTTCTTGTGCTGATGAATGTCTGTTCTAATTTAGTGTTGATTTAGCATTACTGTTCATTCCAGTAGGGTCCTCAAAGTAATAATAGCCAAATTGAGTGTAAATCATTTTTATTGAGAAAAGGGTTACATTTATTATGAACGATTATTTGTATTACTTTCACATGTGTTTGCAGAAAAGCTGACGTGGTTGAGAAGAGATGACTGGCGGTGGTATTTTAATCTGAGCGCTGTATCAAGACATCCCAGGAGAATGTTATTCACACATGTTGTCACATCAGTCATCCCAAGAGGTCATCAAGGTCACTAGGTCATCCAAGGTCATCAACTTTGTGAGAGGGCATCAAGGGTCAATGGGTCAGCAAGAAGAGTCTTCACGTGACACTCACCAAAGAGGTTAAATGTCCCATGCAACAGTTAAAGAACAGTGCTATGAATTATTTCTTAATGACTTTGAAAAAAATAAGGGGCGATTGTCAGATACATTGGACTTTTAATGGACCACATGTAGTGGCCCGAACTTGAAACATTCATCGGCACTCTCACACTTATTGACCAGAAAATAAAATTATTTCCTAATATTGAAATACCTTCACAATATCCATGTGTACAACTGTATCAGATTATATTAAACAAAGTATATGTTTCTGCAGATACACATGCTAATATATTTGACAAGACTTGTGTATTGGTCAAATGTATCCTTCTACTTAACATGTAACATTGCTATTTACATAAGACATAACTAATAAGTAGCGATGCCTCGATGCATCAATACTTTTTCTAAGACGATACAATTATCGATACATTCAAAACTGTATCGATATTGAGTTTTGAAAGTATCGGTTTAAATATGTTTATGTATCGTTTACATTTCGCAATTGTATCATGTTTTTTGATGTTATGAGAGTTATAAATGAATATTTTTCATGCAGAAAGATGGGAAATTAGAACTTTGTAATATCTGAGAATAAAAAATGTTGATCTTTGCATTGACAATTATAAAATATGAAATATTAATGTTCAAAATGTAACTAAATTTTTTCTGAAAATAGGTATTGTGATATGTATCAACTCGTGACATGGGTATCATGATACGTATCGATTCATGAAACTTATGTATCGTGACATCCCTACTCATAAGTGATGAAATAGGGGAGGGGGTTTAAATGGGGTTGATCATCAAGTGGTCCTTTGATTCAAATACCATTGCCAAAACCCACAAGAGCCTATAGTACTGATCGGGATGTGTGACTGTCCAGCTGCAAGATTACGTCTGTGCATTTGTTCCCATTATGGCTCCACTGATTGAACACCTTCATATATCTATGTGTATAAATTGAATCTCATAATCACATAAGGAATAGATATCATTTTGACATTTCACTGGTCATCGGAACATGTTCTGCAATATGGCTGCATAGGCGGCCATATTAGATGTCTGCATTGTCATTGATGTAAAAACTTCATATCATCATATCATTCACCTTTTGGCAAAGGTTTTAACTTGTTTCCCTTGTTGGTATATTCATCGTCTTTCTCTCCCTGGCTCGCAATTCGATAAACCTACACTAACCCCTGGGCTGAGATGTGTTATATTCTAATAGTATCGCGTATGACTTGTTACAGTTTTATACCTTCAAACTGCACAGGAAAGTAGTATTGCCCATGGTTAACATTTTTAATTCTGGAATAAGTTTGTAGTGTACAAAGTCTCTGTGGCATTTCATTTATCTGTGTACTTTAACAAAAGAAAATGATAGTCAATCCTGTCTCCAATATATTTAGTTAATACTTTTGATATTCAGATGTATTCTTGTAGCACCTTTGTCTCACATGAATCCTGAGTGGTGAAATATACTTAATTCATTGTCACATGTACGAAATGAAATGGCTATAAGAATGTACCATTTGTTTGATAAATTCCAGGACTGAACTATCCATGAAAGTGATGATACTTTGTTTGAGATGTGGCCTCGATATTCACAGTATTTTACATAATTTTATTTTTGTTTTGATATGGCAAGGATGCTGGAAATCGTTTGTTTAGTTTTGTGTGGCCATTATGTCAAATGTTTATGATGAATTAATGACTAATTGATAGATTTGATACAGCTAAAGGACATTTGATGTGATGTTATGAAAACAATAATTAAGAGAATTCCAGTGTATACTGAATGAAGCTTATGTATTACAACTATAAGGGAAGAAAGACTGTGTGTAAACAGATTAACCATATTTGCACATGTGTACATCGATTCTTAATGCTGATTGGTCGTTTGAAACAATCTGACGTCACAGTGCTTCATTGTTGAAAAAATACAACATGGCATCAACCGTTGTTCGCGGCACCATATGAACAGTCAGCTGTATTCAGTGGTGACATTTCTTGTTTTGTCTTCATATTTGCCCTAAATATATTAACAAGTAATGCATGTATATAGGAAAACCAACCCAAAACTCAGTTCTGAATTATATTCCCCTTGAGAGAATGGTTTCCTCAGCAAAGTCTGGATAAAGACCATTCTTTCACTTGTGACGCACCAATAATCAGTAATTCTTCATAACTTGCTGGTTAATATTCTCTTATCTATCACAGTCGTATAGTTGATTGTCTCTCTAACTTATACATGTTTGTACAAATGCTTTTGGAATCTTTCTATCTTTGATGCAATTCTTTTATAAAATTCCCTAGCAAAGGTGTTCTTTCCTTGTAGATTAAGTGGTGCAGGGAATATTACTTTTGATACTTTACTGTCAGTTGATATTGCAGTTTATTTCTGAGATGCTGTATGTTATTGTACAAGCGTGTGGTTTATGGTGTCACTATAGAGGTGTCTACAGAATATATTTTCAGTCCTGCATGACCGGTTTTTAATAAAGGCTAGACTATAATTGGCTATGTCTGTGCATGTGTGTCTTTCCTGGTAACCAAGTACAAATGGCGAGTTTCATCCCATTGGAAACTTGACAAATGTGATAAAATTTGATCTTATTGTGCCAAGCGATGTGGTTTTTTGTAGTTTCTTATGCAGCAAACAATGTTGTTGTTTTTTCAAGGTTTCAAATATCAGTGTCTATTAGCCTGAAGTCTTCACTTCTTGCCTCATTTTCTGTAATAACTCAAACTCAAATATGTCTAGCTTTTAGACACAATATATCTTTCTTCTTTAATGATTGTCTTGAAGTCTAGCTGTCATTTAAAGGCAGGATTTCATGTTTGCGATAATGCAGTTTACAAAGGGAACTGTTACTTTTGAGTTTGTTGTACTTTCAATTCAAAAGTAGTCTTAGGTTTCCTTTTTGTAGAGAAAACAAAACAGTAGTTGTACATGCAAGAGTCTGATGTTGTACAGATTGTGTATATTTGGTACCCAGCTAGATATAGTTAGGTGAGCTAGAATTTATTTCAGTAAATGTACATATTTGATTGTCCTAGTTGGCAAGGGTGTTATCAGTTGGGCTGGATGATGTGTTTTGTTTTCTCCTTTTTGTTTGAACATTAATCTTTTGTTATTACGTGTCATTGACAAACAATATTGCTTGGTCAATATTAGCATTAAAGGTGCCATTTGTCATGCGGAAAACTCCTCCTAGTCATAATTGTGAAATATTGCAGTGTTCAAGCTGTTTCATGTCTCCCCTTCACCCAGGAGTCGTAGTGAGGGGATTGTGCCTGAGACAACTGTCAGTCCCAACAAGTTGGATGTAAGTGATTAAGGATCTTTTCTCAGAGTTAGGGTTTATCGACTGATGAAACTACTGATGGATTGTATTATCCACTACCTAATGTCAATACATGGGGAATAACTGAAATGTTGGTATATAACATCAATATTGCCATAGTATCAAGGGTTAACGAGTTTATCGACTGATGAAACTACTGATGGATTGTATTATCCACTACCTAATGTCAATACATGGGGAATAACTGAAATGTTGGTATATAACATCAATATTGCCATAGTATCAAGGGTTAACGAGTTTATCGACTGATGAAACTACTGATGGATTGTATTATCCACTACCTAATGTCAATACATGGGGAATAACTGAAATGTTGGTATATAACATCAATATTGCCATAGTATCAAGGGTTAACGAGTTTATCGACTGATGAAACTACTGATGGATTGTATTATCCACTACCTAATGTCAATACATGGGGAATAACTGAAATGTTGGTATATAACATCAATATTGCCATAGTATCAAGGGTTAACGAGTTTATCGACTGATGAAACTACTGATGGATTGTATTATCCACTACCTAATGTCAATACATGGGGAATAACTGAAATGTTGGTATATAACATCAATATTGCCATAGTATCAAGGGTTAACGAGTTTATCGACTGATGAAACTACTGATGGATTGTATTATCCACTACCTAATGTCAATACATGGGGAATAACTGAAATGTTGGTATATAACATCAATCCTGCCATAGTATCAAGGGTTAACGAGTTTATCGGGCTGATGAAACTACTGATGGATTGTATTATCCACTACCTAATGTCAATACATGGGGAATAACTGAAATGTTGGTATATAACATCAATATTGCCATAGTATCAAGGGTTAACGAGTTTATCGACTGATGAAACTACTGATGGATTGTATTATCCACTACCTAATGTCAATACATGGGGAATAACTGAAATGTTGGTATATAACATCAATCCTGCCATAGTATCAAGGGTTAACGAGTTTATCGGCTGATGAAACTACTGATGGATTGTATTATCCACTACCTAATGTCAATACATGGGGAATAACTGAAATGTTGGTATATAACATCAATATTGCCATAGTATCAAGGGTTAACGAGTTTATCGGCTGATGAAACTACTGATGGATTGTATTATCCACTACCTAATGTCAATACATGGGGAATAACTGAAATGTTGGTATATAACATCAATATTGCCATAGTATCAAGGGTTAACGAGTTTATCGGCTGATGAAACTACTGATGGATTGTATTATCCACTACCTAATGTCAATACATGGGGAATAACTGAAATGTTGGTATATAACATCAATATTGCCATAGTATCAAGGGTTAACGAGTTTATCGGCTGATGAAACTACTGATGGATTGTATTATCCACTACCTAATGTCAATACATGGGGAATAACTGAAATGTTGGTATATAACATCAATATTGCCATAGTATCAAGGGTTAACGAGTTTATCGGCTGATGAAACTACTGATGGATTGTATTATCCACTACCTAATGTCAATACATGGGGAATAACTGAAATGTTGGTATGTAACATCAATATTGCCATAGTATCAAGGGTTAACGAGTTTATCGACTGATGAAACTACTGATGGATTGTATTATCCACTACCTAATGTCAATACATGGGGAATAACTGAAATGTTGGTATATAACATCAATCCTGCCATAGTATCAAGGGTTAACGAGTTTATCGGCTGATGAAACTACTGATGGATTGTATTATCCACTACCTAATGTCAATACATGGGGAATAACTGAAATGTTGGTATATAACATCAATATTGCCATAGTATCAAGGGTTAACGAGTTTAATATTGATGAAACTACTGATGGATTGTATTATCCACTACCTAATGTCAATACATGGGGAATAACTGAAATGTTGGTATATAACATCAATATTGCCATAGTGTCAAGGGTTAACGAGTTTATTGGCTGATGAAACTACTGATGGATTGTATTATCCACTACCTAATGTCAATACATGGGGAATAACTGAAATGTTGGTATATAACATCAATATGCCATAGTATCAAGGGTTAACGAGTTTATCGGCTGATGAAACTACTGATGGATTGT